GACTATACATTCCTATACAATAAATCATTGTTACAATGTCCTGTACCTACCATTAAAGTTTGTACCATGAATTCGGGACCACCCTGTATACTAGTGAATTGATATATAATATTTATAGTGGTAATTACGCCACATTACTCTCCATCCAGAAATTTTTTTGTGATAGAATTCAATGAACGAATGCCACTTATTTATTTATGCTGGTTTTTTCTTTTTTCATATCATTTTTGCTCATTATATTTTTTCTTCATTTTTGTTCATATGCATAAAAAAATAATTCCCCAGTGTTATCTACTAAAAATATTATGTTTATTTGAAAAATGTTTTTTATATATTTTTTCCGCTTTTATAATAAATAATTTATGTACTAAACATAAGCGCATTAAAACATTTCAAAATTATACAAAGTGTTCTGTACGACGACCAACCTTAACATTTATTTTTAAAATCTTTGCAACAAAGAAAAATGAAGTCAAAAAATGCACATGTAACATAAGCTTTTATTTAAACCAAGAGGAAAGGAAAAAAATTAAAATTGCAAGAACTATTAACGAGGAATGCAAAATTAATAACATCTAAATCTGTTTAATCACTAGAAGAAACTGATGAAAAAGTAAAAACATCACGCACGATTTTTATCACGCAATCAAATCGGTTTTTATTATTTCAATCTCGCCTACCTCAATAATGGTTTATTAATACCTTAATAATCTGATAACATTATTATTTTTTCCGTTATAAAATATAAATTTGTGACCTCAAATGTATATACTATCTCGAATTCATTTTTGACTGTAAGTCTAAAAATGTGCATTAAGAGCAAAGATTACGAAATATCTTAATATATTCTGATATGCACACATCATAATGGTCGTACCGCTATAATCAATTTTTCTTTAACTGGTATCTGTTCAATTTTGTTTAAATAACCACTAATAGCTGTGGCAGGGGATAATCCCCGATAGGGAAAAAAACTTTTGGAAATAGCCGTGGCCTACGACAGGCTGTAGAGCTACAGAAAAGGAAGAACCACTTATATTTGAAGAAGCGTTTTACGCTTTTAATGTAACAGATTATAGAATTATCATCTTTAAAATTGCAAATTTTCATGTTCGTCAATGAGACAGTTTCATATCTGTAAATTCTTTAATCATTTCATCTGAACTTTGGTCTGGGCAGGATGGAAATACCATCGTATCTTCCGTTTTTGGCTCTAAATTTTCTGATGTATCCACACATACAACAGCGCTGTAGGACGGCGGTAATTCCTCAATACAACGGCTGCACTGGTTACATATTATGTGTTTAACATCACAAAAAGAATCTGATACATTATTTTCACTTTTTGTAATTGTTTTTAGTTCAGTATCAAAGTTCTCTAAGCCCAGTTCTCTTTTGTCAGGGTAAAGGGTTTCATACTGAATACCGGCTACATATGACTTACACTTTCTCACTTTAGGCGAGTTTTTTACTGAATTTAATCCGTTTTCTGCTTCACTTACATAACCCTCTAAATCAATTGGATCTAAAACGGAACATAAATTCTCATCATAAATTCCCTTTTCCTGCATTTTGGTGCTATCAATATTTTGAGGCGCTATTTTTTCCAAAAAACAAGATGATCGAATTTTAGCTTTCATGGATTCTATGGTATACCCATTTGTAATATCTCCAAGTTCACTCTGAGTATTTTGTGAGCTTTTGAAATCGGTATGAAAAAGTTCTTTTAATGAGGGTAAGAGTTTCATATAACTTGCTTTTTCCTCAGAGTTGCTTTCCATCAAATATTTGTTCAAAGCCTTCGTTTTTTCGTTTGAGATATCGTATTTTTCTGCAATATCTCGGAGACACTTATTAACTTTATCTTCTGGTGAGATCAACAAATTTACTTTTTGGATTAAATCGGGATGTACTGTTTTCTGCTTGTTTTTCAAACTTGATAGTACGAATTTACGACCGTACTTGTGAGATAAATGTTTATTGATTGTTTTGAATTCCTTCACTTCGTTTTGCAAGTATGGCGCCACCCATATCAAGCTGGTAATAGTTTGAACAAGACATGGATCAACTTTTTTTTTCTCTTCAAATACGCCGAATCTATCCAGAAATTGGTGGCAAAACATTTCCAACATCTCCATAGCTTCTACTGTTGCTTCATGCCTGAGAACAGTTTGAACATTTATTTTTGCCTTCAGAAATTTTTCTTCGTTTATATAATCTGCTATCAGTCTTCTCAGTTTTTCAGCTGATTCCGTTTTTCTTGCTTGGAGTATTTTTAAACGCTCACAAGCAAGGCGAATATCAGTTTTTATTTTTGTATGCTTCCATTTAAACTTAAACATAATTCACTAAGTAAAGAGGTATTAATCTGCTAGGTCAAATACTTTTTAAAGCTATTGCTTGTTTATGGCATTTCAGTTTTAAACTGGTAAATAAACATAGAAATTATAAGGGTTTTTTGCTTAGAGCTCGTTAATTTCATTTACAAATTGGATTTATCCTGGTTAACTAGATCATGTCACCTATAAAAGTATTTGGTGATTCATTAAAATTAGTAAGTGTAAGGGTAAGGAAAATTTCCATAATGTTAAAAATTAGAAAGATGACCGAAGGGAAACCTGAAAAGTAAGTTAAAATAATTTTATAAAATTTTTGGTAAGGAGAGATATATCTCTGAAAATATCGGAGTTTCTTTTTCTTTATGCAAATGGAAACTTTTTTTTCTTTTCCTTAATTTTTACTATACAGATGAAAAAGACCGAGAAAGTCCTATCTTCACTTTTCAAAGACAAATTTTCTACAGAAATCGGAATTTTAAAAGCGGAAAATCCAACATTTCTTTTCTCATTTCAAATATTCATTCAAGAGCATTTATTCGCTCTGAGTTTGTCACTTTTTGTAATTATTCTCACAGTCAGTATAGATTATTTTATTGATCATTATAGATCATTTTTCACGCAGTTGAGAGGCAGAGGGTGATTTGCGTAAGGTATATCAGTGATTATCTTAACTTTAAAGAAAGGAAGAAAAAAATATATCTGAGTGCTAGGTAAGGTTCAAGCTTTTCTGCTGAGTTATTAGTCCAATTAATTCAGTTATCAGTGAAAAGAATCACATCTTCTAGACAATCTGATAATTATGCACGTATTGCTGTAAGGGAATATAATGCCCTATATTCCCTACATGGATATTTTTTTGTAATAAAAAGGGTCTTTGTCTGATGTTCGCTTACCCAGTATTCCCTACAATGGTGCGTGTGGGGCTTTTTTTTCAGGATTAAAAGACTATTGTTCGATATTCCCTAAACTGGTTTTTTAAGGTTAAGTAGCCACAGACAGCTATTTCCTGCACTATCATTTTCTCAATAAATATTATATATAATAATATTCATAGTCACCTCCTGGCAAAAATAAAAAGTAAAAACATGCACTCCCAAATTTTAAAAAAAACATCAAATTTTAACAGATTGAAAAAATATGTAGATGTACAATTATAAATAATAATAAAAATATTACATAATGTAACAAAATGGAGACAAGCATTACCTGCCTTCCACTCAACGAAAAAAAAATTGAACAATCTAATCTCTTGAGAGCTTTGTACTAATGCGATGAATGAACTTACTCTATTATATTTTCCACCTTGTATCTTTCGCATATTTTAAAAATGTGTGGCATCTTTTTTTATTGTTTACCAAAGGGACGTCTAAACATGCATGGGCTTTTTACGAATTTCACTTTCTCAAGATTAGCGAACCCAATGGCGGAGGTGTTTTTAAATTTTGAATTTCAATCCTATATGACGTGACCTCTCTGTGAAATATAGTTTTAAAAATATTAAAAACTTTAAATGTATGGCAATTTCCAATTTAAGGAACTATTCAGTATCCTATTTTCTTCCCAAATGTGATGGGAAGCCATTTACGCGATCGCAACACTCGAATACGCCATCTGGGGAGAATACCAATTATATGTCTTAAAGCCCCGACCCTCTACTCCTCTCTTCAGTTGTATAGGAATGTTCTACAATACTTTCTCCTTTCTTAATATTTTTCGTATTTAATTGTCATAAATATCTTTTTTTAATTTTCACAATGCTTTCTTTTCGAACTATGTTCAATGTAGTTTTTAGTTCCATATAGTTTCCTAACTTGAAAATTTTTAATCTATCTGAAAATTAAGAAAGAAACAGACGTACTTCCATCTAAAATGACTCTCCACGCGCTAATGATGAAAGCATGGGAAATGTTGCCATAGGTAGAGAGTTCTGCTTCACGCCATTTGCAGCTCATTTTGATCGACAATACAGTGAAAACGGTCCTCTCAATTTGCTCACTTTAAGATTGTTCACACTGTATGAGATTCTCTCCCTTTCGACTTTCGATTGCCGATAAAGGAAAAGGAGAATCTTATTGGTGAGTTGTTCGTGGGACAATATATTTCACCAATAAATTCTCCTTCCTCCTTGTCGGTGAATGGAGATGCATGAACCGCATGCAGTAGGAATGATCCTAATAATGCCATTTCATTGCATGCGATTCACGCTTACAGTCGGATCACCCCAGAGAAAATATTATAATCTGATTGGAGAAAGATATTTTCCCGAGACAAACATACTATTCAAGTACTCAGAAGTTCTATCAGAAGTGCTTGAATCGCATACAATGAAGACGGTTTCTATATCAAGTTTTATTGAGCATTCTTACTATATGCGTTTCAAATATGCACGAGATGTTCATCTTAAATGTAGCTTATGAACTTTTACGCACATGTCTGTGGTAATCGGACGTAGCAGATAAATTTTGTTTGTGCATTCAATTTCTTTTTTCTGCTTTTCACTCATTCTTATTTAGCATACGCGAGCAGATGTGCGTTGAGTATGAAGCGATTAAGATTAAAATTAAGAAAATTTTGCATCTGGATTATAGAAAGGATTTTTTTCAAAGTTGGCATTAGTATTGGCTTCTGACGTTTTTTTGCTCATGCGCAGTACTAGCGGTTTAAAAAAAAATATTTCTCCCAAGGGAGGAATTTTTGATGTCTTGATTTTGTTTTTGTGTTGTTGCGTATGAGAATCGCTCTCGGAGCTTGTTTGATGAAGTTATTAGTCTTTAATTTTAGTGATTATGATGGAAAATGTGATTCCATCAACTATTTTATGCTAAAACATATTTTCTTGATTTCAAGCGAGATTAAACGAATAATTATGCTTTGAAATTGTATATTTGCTTTAAATGATCCATGATTATAAATCAAACTGTAGACGATAATCAAAGTAAGAAACATTTCACGTCATTTTTTATAACCCATCAGCTGTTACACTAACTTGTTTAGTCGTAAAGTTTGTTGGTCATTTTAAAAACTTCAAATAAGCATTTTTTTAATTGTCAATATTTCTGATTTCAATTATGATGCTATTCCTGTTTTTACTTACCAACTAGTTTTTCTACGTATATTTTTATTCGATAATTGTTATTGATCTTATTCTCGTTACATTTTTAAGTTTAACCTACTTTAAAAACAAACGCATTTAAATTTTGTCTGTCAAATGCCTGGAGATAATGCAATATTAAAAATCTGAGCTAACTTCAAGTCTCTAGATTGGTATAGTTTAAATTATAAGTTTTATAGTCCTGTGAATAAGAATCGGTAACTAACATTGCGTTTATTATCATCGTAAGTTAGAAATTCAGACTTAAACATATGCGGATTATTGTTTTAATTTGAACAATTGTTTCTAACTTCTCTTACTGTTTCAAAGAAGGCTGTTAAGTTATTTATTTTTCTAAATTTCCTGTAGCAGCCATATATGGCTAACTGAGAATTAATTATTCAAAAAAAGTCCGACTTTGTAAAGAGGAATCATAAGTATGTAGCAGAATAATTAAATTGTGGTTTTAGAGAAAAAAACTTTTTACATACCTACCCTGTAGCTATGTGATAGTTATTTGGTGAAAATGTACACAACTTTATTTTGATTTACCTAGTATTTCTTTTAACCATTATATAACCCAGGTATTCTGAATTTTAAAATATAAGCAGCATAAAAAATTGTGGATACCTAATGGTATTATATATTAATTTGAATGTTGAGTTAAATAAACCATTATATGATTGCATCAAGTAATGAATTACAAGATAATTACTTGAATTAATTCAAGTAATTATACTTATCTTGTTCTACAGCAATTCTACTAATATTTTATACATCTTCCAGCCTGTTAATGTAGAGTTTGTAAATTGATGTTATTTTAAAGATTAATTTTTTCATTTTGTTACAAATCATTATGACTGACTTAAATTTTAATGTCTATTTAACTATATTTCTTTCTTCTATCAAGTTATTATGACCAATTTCAGTATTAGGTACAGTTCCTATGCATTATCTAATTCTTTTAGCTTGTTGTGTTGTTTCACGTAAAAAAAAACTTTTTTTTGTTTATACTTAATTAGTATTTATTATTCTTAGTCTGGCTTTAAAAGTCTTATCATTTAATCATTTGTGTGAATAATATAATCTGAAATGCTTAGTTACATAGTTAGATAATGCCAAATCATCTAGTAAATGTTTGAAAATTAACATGTTATTATGATTTTTTTTTTGCTAAGTACTCTTTGTTTCGTATTGTATATTACATTAGTACTTGACACAAAGTACTCATGATGCCTAAATAGGTACCAATGTCTGGAAAAGCGCATGATTTTTTTTAAAATTTCAATTAGATATTTTTTAACTTGAATTATAAAGTAAAATTATCAAACATTGAAAACTTGCACTTGTTAATTAGATGCATAGAATAAGAAACCTAATCTTGTTAAGATGAAAATTTATCTAGTCTAAAATCAAAAAATAGCAAAGTAGACGAGATTGATTTTCTGTTTGTATGTCCTCTCTATATCAATTCAGTTTAAGATATTTTGAATCTCATTGAAAGAAACAAATATTCCATAATAGGAAACCCTAAAATATCTTATTAAATTCATAGTATTTCTGACATTTAGGCTGAAATATTTACTGCTGTATAAAGAGTAACAAGGAAATATAGTTAATAAAAATTTCTTTTTTTTTTTAGAAAAATATACACAGCTTTTATTTTCAGCTATTATTTCAGCTATTATTACAGCTATTATTGATTATCTCTTATAATTTAATCTTGTATCTGCATTTTGAATGATACATAAGTCAGATCAACATAAACCTTTTTTATAAATTTTAGTTGTTTTGTCTATAATAGCCTCATAATATGGGACCAGTGCAAGAAAGTTATAAAACTGACTATATAATCTATTGTTTGTTAATGATAAAAAATGCCATGTAAATATTAAATTGTAACTGTGAAGCATGTATTATTTAGTAATATTATACCTTAAAATATCTATTTGAATTCATAGTATTTATGCAATTTAAAAGTTGTAACATTTACTTCCATGTACCCAATGACAAGGAAATAAATTCGCTTCTTCATTCAGATGAAATCTGCTTATAAATACAAGATATGGAAATATACATAAAATTTCTTATTGGTTTTTCTGAACAATATACACTTCTTTATTTTAAATTACCTAGTATCCCTTTTAATTATATTTTAAACTTGTATCTCCTTTTTTAATTAACTAAATTAAACTTATACTTTTTTTGAATTTTTTTTTTTAAAGTTTTGTCTACAATAAATCTATTGTTGCTTTTAAAAAATACCCAAAAAGTTATATATAAATAAATTAAATACTGTATAAAGTCTCTCTTATCTAAGATAATTTCCTAGTAAAGTAAAATTTTACTAAGTAAAAAAATTTCCTAGCGTATTATTGGTTATTTCAAAAAATGCAAATCAAAAGTGACCATTAAATGAATATACCATAAACATATTAATAAACAATAAAAATAGTTTTCAGCAGCAACATATAATAACTAATTTCAGTATTTACTTTTTTTACCATAAAGCTTTAAACATTAAAGTGTGCCATGTAATTGCATATAAATGTGCAAAATATTTTCATAAGTTTGCCTATATTTTCATTAAAAATTTTTAATAATGAATAGCAGAATTATTTCTGTCTATATTTGCCCCATGTTCACACTAGCTCCCTTTGTGTCATCTGTTGTAGGTATAATATTATTGGCATTGTTATTAAGCCTATCTAAAAACTTATGTTTTATTTTCAAAAGTGTGTTGTTGGCACATTTATCTAGGTTTTTTTATTTATTTATTTATTTTTTAAAGATTTCTTTTAAAGTGAGGCAAATTATCTAAAGCATTTTTTAATTTTATATTGATGTAAAATCCTTAACACTCTCTAGAATATTAAACTAAATGATTTATATGTTATTATAAAACTTATGCTGTTTTTTAATTTTTTTTTTTTTTTTTATTATTTTTTTTGTTAAATTTTTCTAATTTTGAAGTGAACAAAGTTTTTAACCAAGGAGTATCCTCTTCAATGTTCAAATTTTTCTACTTATCCTGATTACTATTGAAATGAATATTACTTTGATATAATGAATATTACTTTGTTTTAAATTGTATAATATTGGCTTTGAATAATACTTTGTTTTTATAGTGTCTTTTTATTTTGAATTACATTTCTTTAATTTTTTTTTTCTTTTTATAAATCTATGCATTTTAGAATTGTTGTTTTCTACTAGTTGCTGTATTATGATGCAATTAATAAATAAAAATTTGAATTGTGTGTTCAAGGCTTGTAGTTGATAGTTTTCTTGCTACAAAAAAGTTTTATCTTGAATTTTATCTTTTTATCTTGGTTTTTGTGTATGACAGCCTACTTTCTATGAATACAAGTGCATATTTTAAATTAATAGATTGTAGGATTAATAGCAGGTTTTAAATTAATAGATCTTTTTTATAAATTTTTTTTATTTGAATTAATAATACTAGTAAAATTGTGTCATTCTTATTTGACTTTTGGTCATCTTATGAAATGGAAATTCAGAATTTTTGCTATCAAAATTTTTTCTTTATATGCCCATTTCCTTATTGCTAAGTGGTGTTAACACGTTAAGCATAGGCATAGAGCAATTTTAATAATGTAGCTAATATAGATGGTATACTTAGACAGTGGATTTTAATATCTAAGTATTTGACTTTGTAGTGTAGCTCATAATAGAGGCACGTCTTCCTGAATTAGTGAGCTGCAGGCATTCATTTATGCCATGCTGGCCAAGGCAACTAGTGAGGCATTCATTGATCACATGTTCATGCCCAAGGTATTAAAGATAAACTTATCAACATTTTTCACTAGTAATTTTTTTTCTTATGTTTCAAATTGCAGCAAAAAAAAAATTGTTTTTCCTTTATTATATTTTGCAAAATTTATAGTACTTTTAAAAATGTCAATTTTCTATAAGTAATAATTTGATTTCTTTTTATTTTGATGATTGTTGTTTCCAGATTATACTACGTATTACATTTTTGTTATTTACTTTTGTATACATTTATTCTTTAGTGTATAGATTATACACAATTTATTTTTGAAGTGATTTATTATTGTACAGTAGGGAACCGATTATCCGGAACGATCGGGACCATCGCTATTCCGGATAACTGATTTTTCCGGTTTTCTGAATCGCTACAAAAAGCCGTTTTTTTATTGTTAAACCCAACTAAAAATAGAAAAATATTTAGAAATAATCTTAAAAAGAAGAAAACACAATGAAGTAATACACTAATGATTATTTCTAAATTGATGGTAAGGTAAACATCTTTCAAAAAAGAAAGAAAAATCCTAAAATCTTATGAGAAAAAAAAAAATTTTGTTTTTAAAATAGCCGGGAAAATTTATCGAATTTCGTTCCGGTTTTTTGGTTTTCTGTTTTCCGGATAACGGGTTCTGTACTGTACAAAAATTACTAAAATTATCATTTTTGTTTCTAACTACCTATATTTTCATTTTGAGTTATCTATTTCTGAAGTAAGAAATTCCTAGTTCCAAAATTTCTCACCGGTATATATATGAAATGAAATTGCACACCTGCATTCTTAAATTTATTTATAATTTTATTATATTTTTTTGTAAAATGTAGCCCTAAATTTTATTTTGAAACTTTGAAGCCTGCATCAGGTGTGTCACTGCATCAAAAAACTTTCGCAACTCTAAATTAACATTTTTTATTTTATTTTTTTTTTACTTTCCATTTTTGCCTTATAATGTTAGAGCATCTGTACTAAAAAAAAAAAAATTCCTCATTTATAGATCAGGGGTCCGTCCGGGCCGAATTTACTACCGTTTAGCGGTACCTTCACAAATTCAATTTTAGGTATAACGGTAGTGTCACAAATTCAACTTTAGGAAAAACGGTAGTTTCACAAAATACTTTTTCTTAAAATTTNTGAAATTGCACACCTGCATTCTTAAATTTATTTATAATTTTATTATATTTTTTTGTAAAATGTAGCCGTAAATTTTATTTTGAAACTTTGAAGCCTGCATCAGCTGTGTCACTGCATCAAAAAACTTTCGCAACTCAAAATTAACATTTTTTATTTATTTTTTATTTTTTTTACTTTCCATTTCTGTCTTATAATGTTAGAGCATCTGTACTAAAAAAAAATTCCTCATTTATAGATATTTACTGTAAGCATTCAGTAATACTGCTTGAGAATAACATGAGTGAATAAGTATAAAGATATAGTTAGTTAAGTAAAAGTATGGTAGAATTAATTTGGTCTTGGTACATTTTTGTGCAAGATAAATATATGAATATATAGGGCAAGAGCAGGAATATTTGAAAATGTATAGGGCAGTAATAAGAATGCATTAGACAATAAATACTCAAAATGTATTATAATAAATATTAGCATTAGATTGAATTTCATACTTAGAATACATTCTACTTTTAATTAGCCTTATATTTGTTTACATTTCAAATTGTTTTCTTTATTAGTATGAATAATCAGAAAGCAGATAGTAAGTCAGGAGATCATGAAGATAATGATCACACTCAACCTATCAATTTAGTTGCAGCACGAACTCCTGCACCTACTTCTACCTTCTCTAGTTCAAGTTCAGGCCTTACAACGCAGCCTTTGGCTCTAAGACCACACCTTGAAGCTCAAAAGACTGGTTTAATGGTAACTATATCTCATTGATATCATTTTACTGATCTGTGCTAGTGAATTTTTCTTTTTATTAAAACTGAGAACTTATAAAATGAGAGGATGTCTAGTTTGCAATGACAGTTTTTAATCAATTTTCTGCTTTCACAATTTTTATTAGTTATTATTATTCTCAGTTTAAAAAATATTTTATATTTTTTTTAATTAAACAGTATTGTTTATGTAATATTCTTCTTTGCTAATGCCAGTTTGTAAATTTACTGTAGACTCTGTATTCCTAACACCTGGACCTAGTTTGTAATGACATGTTTTTAATCAATTTTCTGTTTTCAAAATTTTTATTAGTTATTATAATTATCAGTTTAAAAAATATTTTATATTTTTTTAATTAAAAAGTATTGTTTATGTAATATTCTTCTTTGCTAATGCCAATTTGTAAATTTACTGTTGACTGTATTCCTAACACCTGGACCTTGTTTGCAATGACATGTTTTTAATCAATATTCTGTTTTCAAAATTTTTATTAGTTTTTATAATTATCAGTTTAAAAAAAATATATTTTTTTTTAATTAAAAAGTATTGTTTATGTAATATTCTTCTTTGCTAATGCCAATTTGTAAATTTACTTTAGACTCTGTATTTCCGAACACCTGGACCGAGACCTCAGGGTCAAGTTATGGGACCAGTTGTTGGATCTCAAAGTTCTTCAGGACAACACTTCACTGGAAAACAAGGTGATTTGATTTTTTTTTTATAGACTTTGATTTTTAAATTAAGGAAAACATTACATTTTTATCAGTGCTTAATTTATTTTTAATTTTATTAATCGGTTTCTATTTTAAATTATGCAAATGTCATTAGTTTTTAATTTTATAAAACGGTTCGTAGTTCTCTTTTGGTAAAAAACTTACGATTTTAGTCTGTTTTATGATTTCTATATTCTTTATATGCTATAATATTCTTTTGACTATCATTTTAGTAATTTTTTTAGCCAAATTTTATATTTCCCTAATAATGTTCGTAGTTGTTGTATAACAAGGGTAGTTATGCTTCAAATACAATGTAATAAACCTATAGTGTGTGTTTTGACCAAATAATATGAAAAATATGAGACAACTTGAAAAATTCTGCCTAATTTTGCCTTTTTCTTACAAATATCATAATATAATGAAAATAAACTTTGATATTTATCAAAAAACATTTGAATGTACATTATTCTTGAATTTAAATTAAATAGTAATGTTTTGAAAACAAATTCAACTTTTTTAAAATATATATATGTGTGTTATGAATTCACAAATAACAGTTTTATGATTAAAATAAAGGTATAAATATTTTTTAAGTACAGATTTTATTGAATTTTATGTGCAAAACTATTATTAACAATTTTTTTTTAAATTTTCTGCGTTGAAGTGAAGTATGTAAAAAACAGATTCCACTCCAAAGCTAAAATAATTCAGCAAACTGCCAAAAAGAGTGTGTGAACAGTAATTTACATTTTTCTGTCTATTTTAATTATTTATTCATGTGTTTTTGTACAAATAAATGCATATTTGTGTAGAAAAATAAAGGGTTGGGATTATATCGGGTGGCCGCTTTTTGCATTAAAAGTACCTTAATAATTTGGCTTTTAAATTATTAAAATATGTATGGGTATATTATTTTTCTTAGTTTTAAAAAAAAAATCTTAATTTTATAAGATAAAAAATATTATTATTATAAAATATCTAAAAAAAAATTTTAAAAGAAGGATCAAGAATATGTAATAACTTTGATTTTAGTTTTGTTTTTCTTATGTTTATTATGTTGAATAACTAACTCTGGAAAATTAAGCCTCTTGCATGCAATGTTATGGTTAGAATTTCTGCAACTGCTTCCTCAGCTTTATATATCTCAGTATTCTTTCAGTATTCATTCTTCCTTTATTATATTTTTTAATCATCTGCATTTTATTTTCCTTTTTCGATTACTCTATTTTTATATAAAACATATCTTTCAATCATAGGCACTTTTATTAAAAAAAAAATTTTTTTTTGGTCATTGCCCCTTTCCACTTCATTGTCATTTGAGTGTGCCAAACATAAAATACTGCCCCTGCCATTTTACTCCCTTTTCATATTTCAACAAAGAAACAAAATTAAACATCAACCTACTCTTTGAGGAGTTTTTTTCATCAATATTTAATTCAAATTATGATTTTTTTTTGTGGCCACTTTATTTTATTTAGTCACCACCTGGCAACTTTTTATCTTGCCTTTTATAGAAAATATTTAATTTTTTTTATGAATTAATGTATACTTTTACAGGTCCAGATTTTAAAAACAGTAATATATCCAGTTGGACAGGTATGTGAATTTTTTTTTTTTTTTTTTTGAACAAATCTTTTCTCTTTTTGTATGTATGTTTGTAGTACACTAATAAAAATATTTTTTGTTATTCACTGTTATCATTGAAGCCAAGCTTTTTACAAATAAGAAAATATGAAATATTTTGTAAAATTATTCAAATAGATTCATTTACTTGGTTCGTTTTTCTGATTGATATTTTTTTTTACCTCATTGACTTGTTAGATAATTTTTTGCTAAAGTTTTTTGATGTCTGAATGAAATTTTGTGAAGAAAACTGTACAGATTTGTTATGCATCTGCACTCATTTTTCAAGTTTTTTTTATAACTGTCAATTTGAAGTTTGTATTTTACTTGTGCATGCAAATAGGTCTAATGATATTTGAAAGAGTGGGAAATGAAAAAGTTTCAACTTAATGTTTTTTTTTTTCTTTTTTCCCAAGTTTATGTGTTGCTCTGTAAATTTTGCCCATATACCCACTAATGTTTGCTTGTTTTTTTTTTTCTTTTATTTATTTATCTACATTGCCAGAATAAGAGTGTTCAAATTAATTTTGAAGTGATGCACAGAATCTTTACATATCAGCTAGGTGCTAGACTATAAATTTTAGTTAATAAATTGTTTTGATCCAGGTTTGGAATATTGACCTTGCTGCATTATGTAAGTAAATCTATTGCGAGTGAAAAGATTTCATATGAATGTGAGTCATTCTTTCATTGCGCTGCGTCTGCTAAAACAATGGTTAAAGATTAGAATAATTTTAAGGTACTTGGAAGAAATGAGATACGATACATGTTTTATAAATTTAATGTGTTTGTCATTGTATCTTTTTTAATATGCCTGTTTTGCATCAGTAAATAATAGTTTTTTATGCTATATATTGCTATATTTTTATGAAATTTGCGGGATATGGGTTACAAAACTGTTTCTTTGAGATAACATTTAATGTAGATCTGTCATTTTTTATTTATGAAATGCATTCATTCTATGTTAAAAACAGACTATAATGCAAGAGAACTTCGAATTTAATAGGATTACGATATTTGATTCCATTTTATTTTATTATTATTTTTTTTATGTGTAACGAAAGCAGTACCAGTAGAAATGTGCCAAAAATGGTTGATGAGAAAAAAAAATTGCAAAATATCTGGTGCAGGCTCATTACAAATCAATTCCTAGAAAATAATATTTATCAACAAACTATATTGTATTCTTGTTCAATGTATTTCATTTGTTATAAAAAAATAGTTAAAATTTATATGGCATTAGATGTTGATAAGCTAACTTAGTCTCTTTAAGAGCCCTTTGTTTATGAAAATATATTCTTAATAAATATAAAGAATGCAAAAACTAAAATCAAAAAAAAAAATTTGTATAATAATTGAAATTCATTTAATTTTTGCTTTTGTTAGTTAAATATGTTACTTATTTCTATAATTAATTTCTTCTTTAACCATTTGAATGTGAAAGTAGTCATTTCTTTTAGACCCTTATTTTGTGACTCGGACATTATTTTTATTTCGTCAATTAATGGCACTTATGACCCTCAAAGCATTTTTAATTAACTTGTGAATAGTCTTTTAATTATTAGTTACGATAAAATAAAAGAAAAAGAAATATTCCTACTCGTTTATAAAATTAACTCGTTTTTTACTGTTCTTTAATAATAGATAATAGCTCTATGACTTCTGTTGTCACAAGTCTGAATTTAATTGTAACTATACTCAATGACAGTAGGTTTCTGATTTAATTAACCCAGATCAGGTTATAAACATTTCATTTTGCAGATTTAGTTTATAATAACAAATACAGTGTTTCTTGTTAAAATTATTTGTATTAGTAGAATTAAAGAAATGATCTAATTCTAGCCATTTATTTTTTTCTGATTTTATAATTGCAATATTAGTGACAAATTTTGCCTTCTGAGCGATAGCAAAACTTACCTTCAATGCCTTTTAACACTTTGTTTGTTTTTACAGTTATCAGAATGCCTACAAGTGATATGGGTCCAACTGGAACTACAACTGCTAATTCCAGTGGAACTGTAACTCCTGGAATCCTTCCCTCTGCATTGAGTGGTTCAGGGGGTAGACATATGATTCCAACAGCGGTGCATCCAGTTATTGCGGCAGGAAGTTCAGGGCCATCTATGGCATCTATTATTAGAGGATCACATCAAGTTCCTCCTTCAGGACATGTTATTCACCAGTCTTTTTCGTCTCATGTGCCTAGAGGTATTAAAATATGTTATTTTCTTGTGTTTTTTGACTGCATCTAATTTTTAAAATTGTTTAGCTTTATCATCTTTTAATATAATTCAGACTGACCCAAAATCTTTCCATTTTTGACACAACATTTGACTAATATATCTACAAAATTTAATAAGTTCTGTTATTTAAATATCTATTTATGTTATACTATAAGTAGGTTTTTTTTTTCTTCTGTAACTAATTGATGCCTTAATAAATTTATTTATTTATTATATTTTCTATTTTGTATTCATGGCAGTATCTCATTTGTTTTGGATGAGTCACCACAGATCAGGAAAATTCTGGAATAGTCAAAGAATAGGATTTTGGCACTTATCAAAGACACAAAAAATTCCACATTTTAGAATAACTTTTTTTTAACTTTTTTAGTAGTAATTTGTTTCTCATAAAATCTATTGTATGACAAATCAAAAAAATTAATGTTTTTGTTTGATCAGTAGCTTGGTGGAAGATTGTGAAAAACCTTGTTTTTTAATGTAAATCTAAATTTTTTGTTGCAGTTTGGTTATGGGAAAAGAATAAAAAAACAGCTCTTTGTGGCAATTTTTCAAATATGTTAAGCATTCTTAAATAGAATTCCTGGTATCACTCTGATATTTCGTGTGCTTAAAAAAAACTAACTTTTTGTTTGCCACATACAAATAACAACTTAATTTAGACACATCCTCAGCGATGCCAACTGCTCCGGACACAGCCAAATAATTAAAAAAACAGTAAATAACTACAAGTTAAATTTTGCAAACATTTAACTATTTTTGCTTGCTTTTTAAAAGATATTGCATGACATAAGTATTATAAAGTAAAGTGGTGAATTATATAAGCCTACAAATTATTCAGAAATAGTGGTGGATAAAAATTTACTAAATTGAATTTATTAAATCAAAAATCTCAATTGATAAACTACCACTTTAAAATATATATTTTCTGTCCGGAGCAAGTTGGTATCTCTGCATCCTGTTGATCTACTAACTTTAAAACTTTTTTCTCTTCTGTCTCTTTAAACTAATTTAATTTTTCTATTAGGTCCAGCTGCTGTTGCAAGCATCAGTGCAGCTCCTAAATCAGCTGTTGCTACTCCTATTCTTAGAACTCCTCATTCGTCTGCTACTATGGCACTTGGATCATCATCAATGATGGCTCTGCATAACCCAGTCAGGGTAAATTTCATTTTCCATGGCATGATTTTTATATTTAACTATTTTGCACACCGTAGAATATTAAATTTGTTTTTTTCCTATTTAGGCGAAATCACCTACTCTGGCTGGAAGAACAGTGACACCGCCAGTTGGTGGGAGCACTTCACTTCCACAAGTTGTAGATCTTCAAAAGTAAGTTGTTGTTGCCTTTTCTTTTTTTTTTTTTTAATTCATCTGTTTTTAGATTTATTCTAAAAAGACGTATTAATTTCATTGTAAAAAATATAGTAGTATTTTTAATGCTAATTCTAGGTTTAAAAGGTAACAAAACATAATTATTTAATAAATTGTAAATTGTTTGTTTTTAAGATAAGCATGCTTTGCTAAAAGATGTAAACCAACAACTCTTATCAATCATCACAAAGACTTTTTCCATAAATGTTCCTCTTTTTTTGAAAAATAAAGACATTATCAAAGAAATTTTTGTGCAAAATTAAAACTAGTAAAATAAAACATTGATTTGATTAATTGGTAGATATCGAGTATGTGTTGTATAAATTTAAGGTGACTCAACTTCATTATATACTTAAAAGTTATGTATATTTGCTGAGAAAAACATTTGTGTTTGGTTATGATATCTAAGCCTCTCCAATTTGAATACTAGTTTTTATTTTAGGGCATCCAATCCTATTTCAATTTCGTTAAACCTTGTTACTGGCAATTATAAGAGTTATGAAAAGTCTTAAAAAATTGTATATTGATAAGTATGCTGTCATATTGCTTACCAACTAATTAAAATTACTCGATAGAAAACCACATCAGATTGTACATTTTAAAATTTCTTTTTCAGAATTTGTGGTATTGTATACTTCAACTTTTTAAATTTCATACCTACCCTTTTAACAATAAATGAATTTCAAATAAAAACTTTATTAGTTATGGAACTCGCATGCACAATGTGCTTCTTCTTTCATCTACATATTTTTATTAATTTCTTATTTCATGCAAATTAATAATTATTTTTTATTTATATATTTTTATTATTATTTAATTTAATGTATTTATTTTTGCAATTTTGTATTACAAATATGTTCATTAAAGTATTAGAATTGCAGGTTGTATTTTTTAAACAAGCTGTAGTCTGTAATATTGTGATTGATAGTAAGTTAATAATAGTAAATCATAATGAAAATGTTTGTATTATCTTGCTTGTATACTTTGTAGAAACTTAAGACAGTGCTGTGAAATAAGACTGTATTAACAATTTTGATAAAACTGTAATAAACTATTGTACACATGTTAAATATAATAACATTCTATTGCCGAATAATCAAAGTGTATTTAAAATTTGTAAAATGTTTACATCCCTATTTTGCTACTTGTCATCACTAAATACACCATATTAATTTTTGTTATATTGCAATTTGAAATGCAAATTATTTTAGGTTTTTTTTTTAAATCTGTTAAGTTAAAAGACTATCTATAGATACTAATTTGGATTATACCCTACTTTCCAATAGAATCATATACTGTATTCTTTTAAACTGAAACAGAGTACTGGGTACAATACTCATTTGTTTATATCAGTTACATTGGAGCTAATAATTTTAAATAATAAGTAAAGAAGAAATTGAGTTAACCTCCTTATACTACTTTCTCTTTGCAGGTCGACTGTCGGGCATTCTCTTTCAACCACTACAACGCATGCTGGTCTTGGGTCACGAAGCTTAGACAGTACTGTGGTTAGGACTGGACCTTCACATCCATCGTCCATTACTATTGCAAAACCAATTAATATTTCTCAACCTATAGTACAGCATTTGCAACAGGTAAGTTTCTTTATAAATTGTTTTTATTGTGTTTTTAAATTTATCTGTATTCAATACAATTTGCTAAAAAAAAATCAATTTTTTTCATTAAAGTCTTATTGACAGTCGCAAAATTTTTTACTGTATAAATAAACACTTTTTTGACATTTTGTCTGGAAAAAAAACCTGTTTCTAAAACAAATTTTGAAAAACTAATAAATTTAACAAAATGGAAGAAATTTTAAAAAATATCTATATATATATATACTATTACTAATATAAGAATAGCTCAAATTTTATTACATTTAATACAGTATTTGACAAATAAAATTTTTCTACATCTATTTAGATAAAAACCGCTTGTATATCTATTTTTTTATACAAAATTTTAAAGAACTATGTATTATTTAACAGTTTAGTTTAAACATAAAATTAGTATGTTATTTGTAATCGGGTATTCACTATGAGTTTTTAGTGGTGTTTATGATTTGCTAATTTATTAATATTAGTAAAATTTAATTATTATATTTTAACAGTTCTTTATATAATCATAAAGTATGATTTTATTATACTCATTTTTATAAATCATTAAAAAACTGCAATTATTTTAATATCTCAAATTCATTGATATATTTTTTTCCCAATCATTGCTTCTTTAGTTTTCACTTATTTGAAATTATTTTAGTAAATAGCTTGAAGATTAATGTTATTATTTAAATAAGACAGCAATTATAAGCATCCTAATAAATTATTTTAACATCTGATTTATCTTTTTGGAAAAAGATAGTTTCTTCTATTTCTCCCACTTGGGTTGGAAAATATCTATTTTTTCCTGGATAGTTTTTTCCACTTTGAAAGAAGCTTGACATTCCTATAATAAATAATATGTTGCATCTTTTACAGTTTTACTATGGTCCAAAACTAATTGTTAACATTCTCTCTATGTTAATAGAATATAAGGGAGGAAAAACACTTGCTAACATTATAATTTTTATTCCTTTTAAGATGTATGATAAAAATACAGTGAAGTCAGTGTCAAATTTGTCATCAACAACAACCAGTTCTTCTTCTAATACAACTCCTGCACATCAAACTGTTTTGCCTGGTACATTCACTTCAGTTAATGAAGCTGTGAGTGCTATTTCAAGAACAACAGTATCTACTGGTTTTTCCACTAGCATCATGCAGCTATCTTCTACTTCACTTGGGACACCATTGCAAGCTCTTCGAGCATCTCATGTTAATCAAGCTTTGCATGCATTGTCCAATGTAACTTCTGCAGGGACACCCCACCAAACTCTAACTGTCATTTCTGCTAAATCACTTATGCCAGCTAACCATTCAATTTCTTTAGGCACCCCAGCTGCAAGATCAGGTAACTTTAATGCATTTTATTTTTGTTAATAAACATTTTAAATTGTTATAAAAATTACACTACGTAATTTTATTTATTTTACTCTGAAGTTTTTAAAAATCTTTTTTTAAGTTTTTTAGTATATATTTTTCTGTTTCGTACATAGAAGATATCGCAAATATGTTTAAATAAAATGATCAAAAAATTAAATTTTATGATCAAAAAATTATATTTGATCAAAAAATTTATTTGTAGCTTATAAGTAGCTTTCAAAAGTTGTTGTTTTTTGTTACTGTATATCAATTATTGATTTCAAAAGTCAGGCAACACTTACGTTGAGTAAATGTTACTTTATATTATGTTGCTTGAAATCGCATTTATTAAAGATTCAAAGTACTAACTTAGTGATAAGAATGTGAAGAAAGAAATATTCTTTTAATATGTTATTTTTTTCCCCGCATTTTTTATTATTATTATTTTTTTAATGAATCATTCTTTAAAAGACCATAGGGTAAAATTTCATCAGAAAATGACAGCAGAAAGTAGCATTTCTTCATGGGTGCAAGTCTTCCGTCCCCAGGACGGACTTCCGTCTTTCGAAAATGTCCGCGGATGGAAGTAAGACGGAAACAAGACTGACTCGAAGACGGAAATCGAAATTTTTTTTTCTTCTGTCCTTAGAAATACTTTGTAGGTCTACGTTATTGATCTACTTTCTTATGTCCTGTTGTTATTTTATCAAAAGACAGATGAATAAATATTTTTTGTACAGTATTTAAATTATATTTTTGTACAGTATTATGGTAAAGCTTTCTTAGATAGTTTGCATATGTCGAGGGGGTATTGTGTATGTTAGGTATGTCAATCAAAAAATTTTCAGTCTTGGCCTTTTTTCCAACTTGCACCCATGCATTTCTTTGCTTCAATATGTTTGAAGTTTTTGACAACTTTTATAGTTCCTCATATTGTGCATTTTTGGTGCTCACTTATCCAAATTTTATCTGTTCCACGTTTTATTGAAATCGATAAGGCTTTAAAAAAAATATTCTATTTTATTGTCTATTCTATTTGTAACTTTTTAATTATTCCAAAAATTAGAAAGTTCTGTATTTATTTCATGTTTTTTATAAATAGCTACACCTAATACAACTGGTTCTTCATCTGGAAGCTCATCTATTATTTCAAGTCCGTCTAGACCTCTCAATACTGCAAGCGTAATTGGAGCGACTACTATACCAGTTGGTAAGTAATAATTTTTTAATGAATTATAGATCAAAAAACTTGTTGAATCCTACATTTTTATAATTATTTCTTTTCCTCTGTTAAGTTTAGCATTTCACTATTCATTATGTGTAAAAATAAATAATAAACGTTTTTTATTAAATAAATGTTTAAATAGTAATAATTTTTTAAATAATTATAAATCTTAAATTAATAAATTTTTTAAATAATTCTTCCATAAACTTTTAAGTCAACATTTTTTTTTTTAAATAATAAATAAATGTATTAATAAAGTTTGATAATAGATTTCTTGTTTCAAAACTTTAGTTTTCTATTTATTCTACTTTATTTTATTTCTTCATAGCATTATATTTTAAGGTTAAATTCATTTTATGTAGAAATTAAATTTTTAAAAAATATTATTTGAAATTCCAATTTTTAGCTCTAGTGAAGTAAGTTACTTAAATTAAAACTTATTTATACAAACCAAAAGAGTAATAATAAGTAAAAAATTATGGAATTTCTTTTTAGTGTAGATCTCAGTCAACCTCACAGTTAAGAAAATTTGTGTCATTGAATTGATTTTTTATTTTGTAGCTAAAGTTTATCCTCAATCTCCGGCATCCTCAAGATCTGTAAGTGAACCAACTACGCAGGATACCACACGCTCAGGAAGTTTTCATCCTCAGCCAGTTGTCACTAGTACACCAAGAATAAATCCACCAGCAACCACTGCTAATTGTGGGCCACAGTCTGTAATGATATCTGAAAAACAAAATGAAAAGTAAGTGGTAGTTTTAGGTTTTTACCATATTAGCCAAATTCTATTGATTTTTTTAAAAAAAATTTTTATAAGATTCGATTATTAAAACTGCCGAGCTTTAATAGCAAATTGTATAAAGTTTAAAGAAGATGTACAACAATTTAAAATTTGCATTTCAAAATTCCTATTGATGGAGATAGTTATGTTTGTTTGCTTCCCCTACTAAAATTACACAGATTTTCATAGAACTTGTTTGACTTTTTTTTAGTTCTGGAGTGCGATTTGCCTCCTTAGCGAAACCTCAGGCTGGTGATGGATCTTCATATGCTACATCTTCTACAGCATATTTGTATCATGATCAGTATCCTGCTAACTTAACTATGCATCAATATTCTGGGAATTCTTCTGGTTTTACTACAACTCAATTAAGACCAGTTTCTTGTAAGCTATTATTTATTTACTTATTTATTAATCAATTTTTGTTTGAGGTATTTAAAATTTTAAATTCTATTAAAGGTTAGATTTTCTATTTTTTTATTACTTAAATAATTTATAAATATAATTTTTAAAGAAACAATCTGCCATACTTTTTATCTAGGTGTTTGTGTTTTTCTTTACACAAGTATGCTAAGATTTAAAAATATATGTAAGCAAAAAAAATTTCAAATAGGCTTTTTATTTACTAAAATTAACTGTTAGTTATGTTTTAGAAGTATCGTATAAAATACTGTCATATTTCTGCATACTTAGGATAAGTTCTAAATAAATGTAAACTTGTATTTAGTTTTAGTTTCAATAGTTATTTATTTCGTTTCAATATTTTTATTTTTAAAGAAAGAATACACTTGTCACTTATGTATTTATACAAACTGTATTATGTCACTTATGTATTTATGCAAAAGATATGTTGAGGTTTAAAAATTCGATGCTTTGATTTCTAATTTCTTGAATTCTGGAAGTTCTCCCCACCCCTTTAGAAATTTCATAACTGAGCAAGGGTAATGTGATAGTTTTAGCTTTATTGCAGACCAAAAGAAAAATCTTTCAAAATACTATCTAAAGTTCAAAAAAATTGAGCCTTCTAGAAATAACTTGTTGCTATAACAAGTAAAAAAATGTTCTCTTTTAGTTGCACAACACACATCAAGCAATGCATCACATTCTTCCATACCGGTTACAAATCCTGTGCAGCCAATCAATTCTGTTATGGTTGCTGTTGATTCTCGCCATCATGTTGCTTTGCATCCCCCATACGGCACTTCAGGTATGAACCTTCTTTGATTATTAAGTAATGGCAGAATTTGAAGTGCTCTCAGTTTGGAAGATTTTGAAATTTTAACTTTGTGCGTAATAATAATATATATAAGAATATAACAAAAGAATTTTAAGAATGATGTGAAAGTTTACTTCATTTAATACCAATAGGACTATCCATGCTGAAATTTAATTTTTCCAGATTATTCTCCCCATGTTAATACATATGAGTAATTTAGTACATTTTTCTTCCCAGCAGGTTTTGTTATTAATTTTATATGTGAACCCTCAGTCATTGTTCTAATTTACCCATAAGCATTTAATGAGATTCGTGTCAAATGTCAGGATCCTCTTAAAAACAAAAACTGAAACATGGAATATAAACAGATATGCCAATCTTTAGATGCTTAACATAATTTTTACTGACTTTAGTTTTTGTTATAGAAAAGTACTGAAAGCTTTTTTAAATTTTTGTGAATTCTAGTTCTCCCACTATTTAGTCTTAGCTAATTACAGCAATGATCTTGGTTTTCTGTCTAGTTTAATAGCTCTTTATTTATTCTCTTTTGTACAGAACCCTTTATTTTTATGAATTATTTGGTGGCATCCTATAACTTTTCATATACAGATAAAACATATTTGATCATTTGTTAAATTTTAAACTATTTTTGCAATATTTTAATAGATGCTGATTATATAGGATTAATTACATTGAAGTTGGTGTTATTGAAACATTTCCTTGTAAAATGATTTAATTGTTACACTTAGCTTTGTAATTGCTGCAGAAAATGATTTATGCTATATTGTGTAAATTTGCAGAAATGTAGATTTGCAATTGGGACATTTTACAGTATTTCACTCCATATTCATAAAAAAAATATATATGCACATGTATGCATAAAAAAATTATGTTAAAAATGCACTAAATGCATAACATAAAACACAATTTGAAATTAATTTTTCTATAGTGGAAAGATGGGATACTTCAAAGCAAATTAAGAACTGATTAGAAGTAAGACAAATTCCAAAAAATGACTTTTCATCATCCTTACAGCATTCTGATGCCAAACCAAGGAATGGTTTGACAACAGAATGTATATTCTAACTTGTGTTGTGGAGAGATGTATGTTTAAATTCATCTGAACATATTTTAATTATTGGCTGTATTAAATAAAAATTTATCACTAAGTTAAGAATCTTTTAAAATTAAAATATCCTGGTCACTTTAACGTAAAAAGATTAAATTTTTATATGCTCTCTGTTTTAGAATAACAAGTTAAGTAAAAGATTTTCAATCTTAACTACCTTTGATCTTTTTTAAAGTATGAATAAATGATTATTAAATTAATAAAAAAAGAAATAGCTGCTATAGAAATTATTTTAAGAGATGTTATTGTATTTATTTAATAACTTTAAAACTTACACACAAAATAATTTTTACCTACAAAATTCTTTATATTATACTTTATTTTACAGGGAAAACTTCAGAACTTGTATCTGTTTCCACTTCTTCCAATAACAATTCTCAATCTGTTGTTACTACATCGTTCAACACTTTATCCTCTCAAGGAACTGTTACTAATCATACTTCTCCTAGGCCAAGCATCTTGAGAAAACGAACAAGTGAAAGGTATTTTTATATTATAATAAAACATTAGCTTCTCATCTCTATTTTTTTTAATAATTTATTTCTTGTTTTTGTGTTTTTTACCAGATTTAAATGTTTTAATATATAAACTTTGTTATTCTTATCAAGTAATATGGTATACAATTTTACTTATTGTTTTACAGTTTGAACACTGTTGCTAGAAAAAATCTATCTGGTAGCTTGAATAATGCTGAGCCTATGAGTCCAAGGCCTGATCTGAGCAATAGTATTAACTTCACCTCTGTTCTTTCACCTAAACCAACTATGTAAGTAGGCATCTTTATATCATTCATTAGACTTGAAAATAACACCTCATCACATGTCGAGTCAAAAGTGGTTATTTAAATGAACTACTGGCTGCTCTTAACTTTTTTTTTATAAAAAAAAAAATATTCAAAATGTCTATAGATAATAAAAAGATTAACAAAGATTATCTTTTTTGTTTGAGTAAATATACTTAAGTATTTTTTTTTTTAATCTGAAACATTCTATAAGGGATTATATTAATTAACATTTATATTAAAGTTTTTGTCACTTAAAAATTATGAGTTGTTAAAATTTATTTTTTCATGCATATCTTTTTTGAAATTCCCTTTCATGCTTTTGAAATTTGCTGGAAATAGTTTGTATAATTAAGGTTTTTGCTAAATGATTTAAGGCATAATAAAAAAAAATTCACTTAATTACAAATTAAGCATTGGTGTAACATTTCATAGTAAATATAAACTATCATTTATATTCATTTTTTATAGTGAAATTTAAATTTTAATGTTGCAATCAAAATATTCTATGAATTAATTTTATTTATTATTTTTTTTTAAGTGAAAAATCGAAAGAGGTTATTTCTGCATCTGGTCCAGCTACTAATAACATTAATTCAACAATAGCTTTGATTCCACCATCTGCTATTAAGAAGGAACCAGGTCTCCCAGAAAGTAAGTTTTTTTGTCATTTTAAAAAATTCTTTCACATTAAAATGTATTTTAAAATTTTTTAGATCATCTATCAGTCTGACAAAAAATTTATAAATATGCAATTTTAATTAAATTAGTATTTATTTAAACATCAATATTTATTTTATTTAAGTTAATCGTGATCCTAAAATAATATATCACATATTTAATGAAAGTTCTAAGTTCGAAATCAATATAAAAAGTAGTGTAACGAGCAGGGGTTGTTAAAATTGTGGTCCATACTGCAACCAAACTTTGTTGCTTGTGTTAATGATTTTTTTTTTCTTTTTTTTTTGCACTAGAAGTTAGTCAGCTGTTTGAGGCTGTTTATTTACGTCCCACTAGAGCTGCACAATGGGCTATTGGCAATGGTCTTGAAAACATCCCTGAGGATGATCTAAAGACATGTCATCACAATTTTGATCCTCTGCAGAAGTCAGCTGTTTGAAAAGATTTAATATGTTTAAAAAAATAAGCCTCATTTTATATCCTACAACAGGTGAATCTGGAGCACAACCTTTGTTTTTCTTGTGTTACCTGCCATGTGACTACAATAAAAAAAATTTAAAGTTTTTTTTAGAAAAAATACTGTTAAAAAATACAAACTAAGTGTGCCCTAATGCCAAAAATAAAGTTCCCTAATTTTTCCAGATATTTTTTGGTATGTCCCCTTTTTTTTTCAAGGTATTTTTTTTTCCTTTAAAGTGTCGAATTATCCATTTTTAAGAAACAAATAATTACTAAATCCCGATTATCTGAAAATTTTACTATGATGGGGAACTTTTACAACTACAAGAGGTTATTGTAATCAATATTAGAAAATAATAAAAGGAAAGCAATTTTTTCTTGACGTCTCCAGGTTTTTCTGTTCTCAGTGAACATTTGAAATCTTTCTAAATGCCAACTACAAATTTATATTTGAAAAATTAATGACCTGTTGCCTAATTAATATTCTAGAATGTGTTATTCGGTACGAATAGATTAGGAACCCTTGACCTACAATTTTTTTTCTGCTTGTAAGAATCTTAATATTAGTTCCAAGTAGGTTCTTAATCAAATAAAGAAAAAAATACGGTTAGTATCATTATTAAAACGTGTTTAAAAAATTAAATTGTAATGTGAAAATAGGCTCTAAACAAGTTTTAAGATATTGCTATCTAGGCCTTGATAAGTGCGACCTGTGAACAAAAAGTTAAATGATATATAATTTTTAGATTCAAAGAAAAGTGTTACATTAACATATATTATGTAAACTGTAACCAAAAAAAAGTTATATTTTACTATTAAATTATTTTCCCTGGTTTAAAAATTTCAACTAAAGGTTTTATTTGGTTACTTTCCGTTCTGAGTTTAACTTATTTACTGTCTTTATTTTATAACATCTACTGAATGGATTTATTGATGGTTTTTTATACTTAAATCAAAAGTAACTTCACTTATTGATCTTTGTATTAGCTGAGAACTTAAAATCCAAAAAGCGAATTGCTGAAATTCAGAAATTTTTAAAGCCAAGTCTTTTCTCTGTAATTTCTAATTTTGGTCATTTAAGTTGATAGCAAGAGTTTTTTATTAAAATGCTTGTGTTTACCTAAACTTGTATTGTTCTGGCCTTACTTCAAATAATGGATTTTTTAATAAAATATGTAGACATTTCTAGTCATTAGCACTTCTTTCGTCCAGAAGGTACCTATTTTCGATACTTGTTTATGTCTTGAGGATTTCAAATGTAAAAGTGTTTCTTTCTGCTATTAATTCTCTCTTATATAACTTATATAAATGCAAAACTTTTGTAAAAAAAAAATTAAAAATTTATCAGCTCCCACGTTTAAAAAATGAATGTATCTAATGTAAAATTGCTTAGATGCTTGGTCTTTTTCCCCCTTGAATTGCTTAGTAACATGAATCGTTTCTATATTCATAATTTATATTTGGATACTAAAATGTACACTTCCTAATCTGTATTCAACCACTATTAGCTGTAAAATATCCAAACCTTTAATGAGTCCTACAGAAAAATTACGATTCTACGACTATTTTAAATTTTTATTCACGAAGCAGTTTAGTCATGTAGAATTTAAAATCCATTACTAAATACAGAATGATCCTTATCCAAAGATGCTGAATTCTACAAACCAAATATATTTTTTATACTTATGCAAGTGTAATAAATTTTAGACCAATTTATACTATTATTTATAAATCATATTTATTCATTCTAAAATTAAATTTATAGAATCAAAATTTTATGCTATGAATCAAGTGTTGATTTTATATACACATTTTATTCATTGCAATACTCATTAAGTTTTGAAGAATTCTCTACAGAAATTTTGAAAGTCTAATTTATTTGCATTCTTTTTTTTTTTTTAACTGAATCTTAATTTTAATTTATTCTTAATCTTTAAAAGTCTTAAATACTTTTATGAGTACCCAGCAATCGGAAATAGTTTTAAAAGTTTTTAAATTTTCGATCTCCCTAGTAATAAGTTAAAGTGGCAGTTATTTTCACAAATCAATGAAATTTGATGGCTGCACGACACTACTAAATAGTGAGTGTCCTTCCAGGCGGCAGCCTCGTCATTTTGAAAAGCCTGGCTTTCTGTGAGACCTCCTTGGAGTGCCATCTGAGTTTACGCTCACTTTTCACAGAAACCAGACTACTCCAGCTTTCAATAGAGTATGTATGTGTAAGTTCCTCTCTTTTTTTTTCCTCCAAAGAAAGTTTTCTACAATGATAAGATTACTTATTTTCTATAGAGATGTGTATAATGGTATGTGTGTATTGTATACAGTCATGGGTGCAAGTATTTCAGTCTTTAAGGCTGATTTCTACCTTAGATTTGTTTCATCAACTGATATTTGGATTGAAAATAATTAGTTCACATGCTCATTATAGGGATTTATCAAACTTATTTAATAGTTGCAGCAATGTTAAAGAATGAATAAAACTGTTTAGAAAGTATATTTTTTAGTGATCTTAAACATTCTTAGCCTTTGAGTGTATGTGACTGCATCAAAAATCTTGCTTTACCCATTTAATTTGAAATGATTAATGGTGTAATTTCAATATAATTTGCCCAGGGCCTAAACACTCAAAGGGCTGTAATATCTTTTTTTTTAAATAACCTTAAATATGAATGAAAGATCATTACAAACCTCTTGTTGAGAAAATTTCAATCCTGTTTCTAACCAATCACTTTCACCCATGTATACAATCAATCGAAAAGTGTTTATTTGTTAAAACTTGCTATTGGGATGCCTGAAATTTGATTTCTATTTGTGTTCTTTATTAAATTACGTCAATAATAATGATAACTGAACTAAAACAATTATCAGCAGATATTTTCTATTAATAGTGTAAATCTCTTGAAGTCCAAAACCTTAATTACAAAATAAAAATAGTTTTGTTTTTTGTTCATATATTTTTCTTGTAAAATAAGGTAATATAAAAAACTGGATTTCTTGAAACTAATGCATTTTTTTTATCTTCATTCCCTATAAATAAAGAGCAACTCCTAGTAAATGAGTAATATTTTAAATTTTGAAACTTAAATGTTGTTTTTATCCACACAAAAAAGGGGTAAAAAAGCTACATTTTGTCTGACAATTATTTCAATTATAATTTAATTTGAATTTTTAAGTTTAGACAATGAGATTTTTATTTTGATATGGTGTTATGTGTGCAAAGTCCTCGCTAAAGCCATGTGTTAAAAATTAAATTTTATTGCTATTCAGTTATCATTATATTGCTTTCAAAAATGAGATTATCTGTACCAAGTTTATTGTAGGTCATTAACAGTAGATTCACTGATAGCAATTAATTCAAGGCATTATCTATTATACAAATCAGATGTTAGATAATCTTATTATGTATGCAATGATATCTGTCACTTCAGCTTCCACGTTGAAAAATAAATAAATGCAAACATTAGTAACGAAAAGAGCTAGTTTAAAGAAATAGAAATTTAATGACGTAAAATATAGATATAACCTCTTTTTAAATATAAATTGTTATTTGAAAGTGATTTTTAAAATTTCTTAATTATTTTTTACCTCTTTTTCCTACCAAGCATTTTTCCTATGAGATTTCGTTTTGGTACATTTTTACCGCTTATAGAATTGTATAGTTAGAGCTTATTAAGTGGCATTATCTTTTTGGTAAAATAAATGCCACATTTTCTAGTTCTGTTTTGGGTAAAAATCTTTTTTGTCTCACCCTCTTTGTTAACGGATTTATTATTTCAAATAAAACATTTCCATTATTTGGGGTGAGTAAAGAGCCTGGATTCAGTGATTTATGAAATAATTTGCTCAGTGGTTTGTTCATATATAAAAATACAGAAAATCATTGTTTTTTGTGTATTCAATTCTTTCTCTCAAAATCTTAGATGTGTCAAACTTTATTCATTTTGTAGATTATTATAAAACAAAGATATCAAACTGGTATTCTAATATATTTGATTACAAAAGTGTGCATGGTTTGAATGCAGATTATTATTTTTACTTTTTGATGTATTTTATCTTTTTCAGTGCATTTTCAGTCAGATCAGTTTTTTAAAATATTTAATAATGCTATTTTCAGGTCCTTTACATTGCATTGACCCTATTCTTAAGGATTCCAGGCAACTTGTTGAAGCATCACCACGTAAAAAACCTAGAAAACAACTATTGTAAGCATATTTGTAATCATATCATTTGATTGTTGTTGTTTTTTTTTCAATGTACTTATTATATATTATTTTATCCTTATAGGTCTACTAATGAGCTAATAGAAACTCATTCATCAGAAGGAGATGAAAATAATTTTGATCTTAAAGTAAAAGTTAAAGAAGAAATGGGTAGGTCGTTAACAACCTTATTCATTTGCATTTATGGATTTCTTTTATTTCTACAGAAAGTCTTTTTTTTATATATATATGGTCTTGTAATTGCTAAACACTATCTCTTAACTGAATTTGTAAACATTCTCTTAACTAGTTTGTTTTACATATATATACTGATTATCTCATTGAAAAAAATTGTTTTTTTGTGTTTCTCAAATTTTATTAGTAATATAAATTATCAGTAATCATGTTTCTTTTTAAAAATAATTATGAATAATGTGATGCCACAATTGGCATTACATATTTANTACAGATTATCGGATATATGGTCAAGTTTTAAAAATCGTTATCGCTTATAAGGTCATTTTTATCCGAGGCGAGGGAAGCTCTTTTCTAACAAAAACCTATTTACCTTACAAGGCAATTACCCCTCTCGAGTTCTAAGAAAATGTTGCTGCCAACGAGCAAGCTACAATTTCTGAAATTGTTTCACAAGTTCTTGACAGTGATCCTAAGACTGTAGCTGTAACCCAAGTGGAAGCCTTCAATGCAATAAATATCATACGAAATTTTTTTACAAACCACGAGAGAGCTGAGAAACATTTTGAGAAGTTACAAAATCTAGAAAACATTGTTCTAAAAATGAAACCAAAAACGAGACAGACTTACATAAATGATTATTTTAAATAAAGTAAGATGTAATGTATGTATGTACACATTGAGGAAATTTGTGAACAGCTTTATTTTAAATTAAATTTTTTTTAAAAAATCTAACTTTCTTTAATTCTTTACTAATTCTGTTAAAATTTATTAACTTAAATATTTAATTGATGGCCTATCGTTTTCGTTTGTATTACCATTTTTAAAAAGTCATAATGTGGACTATTTACGTGCTTAGTAACGAACTGCTAATGAATCGGTTAAAAGGTCACCCCGCTTATAAGGTCACTTTTGCGATGTCCCTTAGGGTGACCTTATATCGAGGTCTGACTGTATATATATACTGATTATCTCATTGAAAAAACACTTTTTTTTGTGTTTCTCAAATTTTATTAGTAGTATAAATTATCAGTAATCTTGTTTATATTTAGGAATAATAATGAATAATGTGATGCCACAATTGGCATTACATATTTATTTCCTACCTTTTAAAATATCTTTAATTACTTAAACTAATTTTTACTTATCATATTAATTGAATTATATTTAAATTAAATCAATGAGTTAATCTTTATAAAAGCAAACATAAAATACTTTATTCTTTTCTTATCAATCAATGTAACGGCTAAAATTTTATTTCAATACTAATGTAGACTCATTAATTCACTGCCACATCTAATCAAGAACAAAAGTCTATTTACACTCTTAATTATTAATTTCTTACCTAAAATATGTTTCAGTTACATGGTTATTATAATTCCCACAGTTTTGTTGCCGGCTTGTGATCGCCAAAGTATTTTCAAACCCAATATTGATTGGCTTCATTTTGACTATGCTATATTTTGATAACTCGCCAATTTTGGATCTCCTATCCATGCTTCTCCTGTGTCCGTTAGGTACAAATGCATTTACTTTCAATTTCAAATTTGTGGCAACTAGGGGTGCCCTTGTGGGCCTCCCAGCCACACCGTAAAATATTCGTTGATGCTAACATAAACTTTCGATTTGGGAGAGTGTTTTGTATTGGTCTCATTGGGGGATTTTCTTTTCTTTATGATTTCAATATGCCCATTCCTATTATACTAATGCTTACTTTAATAAATCAAATTTTTACTTAAACGATTTTATTCCTTTTCCTGGAGACAGTATTTAACAAATACCAATATATGGCAATCCCCAACATCACAAATAATTTTTTAAAAACGATACAGAAATATATTTCTGGAGTTGTACTGAAACAATGCACTGTTTTCGCATGTTAATCGCCATTGTTTTATTTATTTATTTATTTATTTTTTTTAAGAAAAAAAAACTTTTAGACTACTGGGATTTTTTATTGCAGTAGTGTTAAATATTTTCTTACTACTAGAATTTTAAAAAAATTTTCGCAAAATTTATGTTTTTTTATCTTTAACTGGATTTAGAAAAATATTTTACTATTCTTACTCATTTATTATTCATTTGTTCTATTCGTATTTTCCTAATTCACTTATATGTCATTATTATTGCTCAATTTGGGTTGTACTGATTCTAAATACACATAATATTTGCTTTTTTACTTGACTAATTTACATATAATTTATATTTGTTATAGAATGCCATATTAATTATAATGTGTTCCTTTTTTTTTCCAGATGAAGACAAAAACAAAAATTTGACTTATTACAAAAGGCCCTCCATGTCACTCTTGAATACATATCGGCAGACTTGGAAACCTAGGCATAATCATTTTGTCCGATATTCTGATGTGAAACCCAGAGGTACTAGTTTGTAAAATGTGTATATGTAAATATGCAGTGTGTGACAAAATTATAAGACCACTGTAGTTTTTGTGACTTTTAATATCAGTAATATAGATTTTCCAAAATTAAATTAATGAAGATGAATGAAAAACAAAGATGCATGCACATAATTTTTCAGAGATATATTTAGATATGAATATTCTGCCAACAAGATCAAAATTTTCCATCTAAAATGTCTGTTACAAAAATTATAAAACCACATGTTAAAATGATTTTTTTTACAAAATTAAAAGGATGTTGATCCACCATTTTTCTGGATTACTTCAAATGCTAGGTTTTTTATCGGCCAATCGAATTTCCGAGCTAAGTTTTATAAATTTTGTGTCATTCCTCCAGATAGCTTCTTCCCAGTCGTATACTGAATTATGGGAGATTATTTACATATGCTTGTCCTGGCAAGTAGCCCCACAAGTTTTCTGTAGGATTAGAATCAAGGCTATGGTTTGCCAGCTTAAGACCTTGATTTTTTCCTTCTGAAACCAATTTTTAGTTGATTGTGACGTATGGCAGGGCGCATTTTCTTCCTGAAATTTATAATCCGACCCTCCTGGAAAGTAAGATGTGGACCAAAAGGTGTAAGGTGTTTGTAAAGTAGTTGTTGATAACTGGAGTCCTTTTTTTTTCCAGAAATTCGCAACAGGTAGCATTTACCATCATTCGCAAAAGCTCCTCAGATTATATACCAAACTACCACCATCTAACTATCCAAGAAATCAAGTTCTGTTCATAAATCATGTCAGTAGTAATTATCATCATCTGGATCATCCAAATTGAACCTCTTTTTATCTGAAAACAAAATTTTTTCACCTAGCATCACATGTCTTAATCTCTTTTGCCCACTTCAGCCTCTTTTCTTAATGATGCTTTAACAGTTTCTGCGTTCTCTGTTATTTTCGAAGAACCGCATTTAAATTTGACCTCTAAGTGCGTCAGACTGTTGCATGAGAGATCGTTCCACTTGTTAGCTGATTTATTTTGCAAGTAGACAAGTCTGGTTTTGTTGCAAGTTTGAAAATGTATCTATTTTTCCCAAGCTGATAATTTATGCCTCCTACCTTGATAATTTATACCTCCTACCTTTATTCAGGCCAGTCAATTTCATGATTTTTTTCAAAACTTTTGAAAATTGTGAATTTTTGTTTTGTTTCATTTTTTTTCTGTTTTAACTAAAATGAAGTATGTTAACAGAAAGTTTCTAATACGCTTAATTTTCTTATTGTTACTTTTCCTTGTGCGGTAAAACAGGTAACTAGTAGCATAGAATATTGTGATTCTCAACGTTAAAGTCATATTTCAGAACTAAAAAAAAAATTTTGATGATGATTTTTTTTTATCAGGTGTTTTTATTATGACAAAAATTTTTAAAGAGTGTTTCTAATCAACATTATTCTTTCATGGTCACTTTTTTCTAAAATTACAGAATTGTGAAAAAGTTAAAATAAGATTTTATAGTGTTAAATCTATCGTTTAAAAGTTGCGAACTATTTTTATTTTTGTTTCTATTTATTTATTTTTTCTTAAAAAAAACTTATGTTTTTATTATGATGCCACAATTAAGAGAGTCTTCACTTTAAGCTTCAAAATTTAAGATCTATTTTTATTTATTTATTTTCTTTTGTATATAATCTTTATTTTGTATAGATTATTTTATGATACCGCTGCATTTTTAAAAGTATTTTTGATGGAAATTATCTCTTTTAATATTATATAGATAATTTTTTTTTTCCAGAAAATATTATTTTTAGCATTAAAGTTTTGTTTTAAGAATTAAAAGGATACCTTCTTTTCCATTTCTTTTTTTAACTTTACAACTTTAATTTTTTTCCCTAATAGCTGTTTTTCTTAAATATTTAAGTATCTTACAATCTAATTATCTTTATTATCCCAAGCTATTAAAGTTTTTTTTCCCTTTATCTCATACCAATAATACAATTAAGTTTTGATTATTTTTTAATAATGACATGACTAAACTTATTTCTTTAAAAAAAAAATATTTAATAATGAAAAAGAAAGAAAAAATGTGTTGCTATTTTGGTCTTCTTTTTTTTTCCTCCCCCCCCCCAAGTAAACGGTATTCGGCCATATCACTATTTGTAACAGTATATATCTAAAAATAATCAAACTATTATCTTGTGGTGCAAATTTAAGAATATCTAAATCATTTTATATTCATTGCTTTTGTTCTTTAATCTAAATTACTATAACTGCACTACTGATAACGACCAAAATATAACCAGGTACTAATTACTACATTTATTTTAGCATATTTTCGATTTAGAAAAATAAACCTAATATAAAATGAAAATTTACTTATGTTACATCTCTTTATGTAATTAAGGATTATTGATTGCTTATTTGCTAATATATTGAAATTTGTTAACCTTTTAGAAGAAAAAAAGCCTACTGTGAATGAACTTGCAAATCAAAAGGGAATTCTCCAGCAAGTTAATGGCTGGAAAGTTTATCATTTATCAGCACAAATGGAGGACATTGTAAGTTGAATTGTTACGATTAGACTTTAACCACATTATTTATTTATAGCTATAAATGATCATTTTTAAATTTGTGATTGCCTTTGGTAACTAAGGATGTAACGAATATTCGGTATTCGAGCCCTTGTGCCAAATGTTCAGCCAAATATTTTTTGGAAAAGTATTTTCAGACAAAAGTTTCTTAGGAAGAATTTGAACAAATTTAATAAAAAATAATCTAAAATTGTATTTTTTACTTTACATTTTTAGAAATAGTTTTTACATATATTTGTTAAGTTCTAAAACTTGTTAATTTATGTTCTGGAAGACAAATGAAAAAGCGAAACTTAAAGAATTGAAGCTAGATTATTTTATACGTAAGCATAAGTTGCGTACTGCTGATTGTTTTTAAAGAGAATTGAAAAATTTTGTTTATTTCATTTTTCTCTTTTTTTTTTAGCGCAACATTTTAATCAAGCATTTCTTATAAATTTAATTCTTTTACTGTCAGTTTTTTCCTGCGCAAGTAAAAATGTGATTCTCAATGTTACATTTCAGAACTAGAGCAATTCTTTTTCTGTTTCACTTTTGCTTTTTTTGTTAACTTTTCTTTTTATCTGCATTTTTATTTATGACACTGCTTTTTTTAAAGTGTGTTTCTAATAAAGATTATTCTTTTACGATCTTTTTTTTCTGAAAATACGGCAACGTAAAAAAGTTAAATTGAGATTTTTAACATTTAAATTTTTTATTTAAACATTATGAACGATTTTTTTTTTAGTTTCTATCTAGCTTTTTATTTTTTAAAAACATCTGTAATCGGTGTTTTTATAAGCTTTCTTATTATAAGGTGGCAATTAAAAAAAAGGAAACTATTAGAGTTTATTTTTCCCTTTTTAAAAAAAAAGTAATTGGAAAACTGAGATGTTAATCTTTAAAATTTTCTTTCATATATTAAGATTGAATTTTTTTTAAATTTTGTATATCTTTTTTATGCTAGCACTGCATTTTGAAAAGCGTTTTATGGATAATTTTTTGCGGGAAGATATTGTTGTTAGCTTTAAAGTTTTGTTTTCTATTTCCCTTTTTCTTTTTTTCAACTTTTCCACTTTAGTTTTTTTTNTTTTTTTTTTTTTTTTTTTTTTTTTTTTTTTTTTTTTTTTTTTTTTTTTAATAGCCGTTACTCAGTTTTTTTACTTGCCTTAAATATTTCTACTTGTCTTAATATCTAAGTATCTTTACTATGTTAAATATTTCTATTATAGTTTTATAATACCAATAACATACCAATATACTCACTCCAATAACATAGCTAAGTTTTGATTATTTTTCAATAATGACTAAACTTATTTACGTGCAAAGCTATTTGTACTTATTTTAATATATAAATATATATATTCAGTTGCAGTATATTCGGTATTCGGCCAAATCACTATTTGTTAATCCCTATTTGTAACATCTTTGTTCAAAAAATGCATGTATAATTCACTGACCTGTTATAATTCAAAAAGATTTTTAGAAGATTTTTTAAACCAGAAAAAAAAGGAACATTCAGAATATAATAGTCTGTTATAATTACAATTCACAATAACAGATATAATTAGTTATTCTTATATCGAGCTTATTTTTATTATGTACATTATTTAGAATTATGCTGCTGCATGATTTCTGTAAATAGCAAAAGAATTTTTTTTTTTTTTTTTTTGGAAGGAAATTAACAGAGCTAGTCACTCATACATGCTTGCATTATAAACATAAAATGTTAAAATTGTAAGATGATAATTAGGTGAAATTATGTTACTTCGGAAAAGAAAGTTTTCATTTTTCTGTATTGATTTCAGATATAAATTATAATGGTCCCCATTTACCTCATTTTCTTATAATATTGCTTACTCAAACAGCAGAAGAATGTGTTTTCCTCAAAAGAAATTTAGCAGCAATCACAGAAGCCTAGTAGTTTTTAACTCATTATAAGCACAATTTTTGTATCTTTACTAATAGTATTTTGACAGTGACCTAGAAACCTATTGTAATAGCTGTGTAATGTGCCATGCTCATATCAAGCTTTTACTGCATAATAATTTTAATAAAGAATAATTTAATTTAGTTGCAGTTTTTAACTCATTATAAACACAGTTTTTGTTTCTTTAATAATTGTATTTTGACAATGACCTGGAAACCTAACGTAATAGCCGTGTAATGTGCCGTGCCCATTATATCAATCTTTTACTGCATAGTAATTTTTCTTTTCTTTAGAAAATTAAATTATAGTTTTAATAAATGAATGCAGCTTAAAACGAATATAATTAAATTTGCATGATTAATAAAACAAAATTAAATTATTCTTTCTCCTAACAAGCTTGTTTTTTTGAAAGATGCCATGGTTAAATAGATAGGAGTCTATGATTCGTGTTTCATCTATTAATATTTAGATGTATATGCTTTAAATTTTGAAACGTGCTGTTTTCTTTTTGACATTTTAGATTGAAATTGAAGAGACGGTCTATTCTCGGCTATCTGATCTGTTAGACTTCGTCGAAAGCGATCCACCAGTTATGAAGAACCGGAATTTATTCAGTTCAGAAGAAAATAGAATCATAAATAAACTGAATGATTTGATTAAAGTAAGAATCACTTTAAAAAAAGTTTTCTGCATTTTGCTTTAAAATTGACTTTTTGTTCTCGATTCATAAATAAAAAATTTCTTCCTAATTAAAATTTGCTCTTTTTTCTTTTTCTTTCTTTAGGGAAATTTGCAGCGGAGTAAAATTGTTCAAGAGCAAATCACTGAATCAAAGCAGCAGGCAATAAAAATCTTGGATCACAAAACAAACGTTGCTGAAATGGTAAACAAATATGTGAGCCGACGACCTCTTAAAAAGAAAGAAAAAACATGACCCAGAAGAAAATATGCTGCTTATGCGTGATTTTAGAGACAAAGGATTTTATTGGTGCACACTCCACGTTTTTTTGTTACCTGTATAGAAGCTTTTTTTCTCTCTTTATCCTGTTTTAGATGATTTTCAATTTCTTTTGTAAATATTTTAAGATGTAAGTTTTAAAAAGTGTGTTATTTGAAAATAAATCATCACTTTTCTACATTGTCATTTAAAAAGAAGAGATATCATCCTGCATGTATATTATCAATTTTAGTATAATCAACTAAGTTGATTAGACACTCGATTTCAAATACTTAAACTGTGAATTACAATACTTATTCTTTTATCGCTTTTATTATTATTATTTTTAAACAATTCTGCTTAAGAATTGTTACTAAATATATTTTTTTAGTTTATATTTTTTAGTTGTATAGGGCATCCCCTTAAGACTTTTAACAGTGGTCAGGAACATTTCTCTCAAGTGGGTCTTTTTTTTTCACAAACATTTTCGCTGGTGAGCCACACATCACTTCTATTTTAGATTATACATTATTTTAGAAGTCTGTAAATAAAAGCATTATGCTATATACCACTATACCTTAATTTTAGTACCTAGGTGACCCACAAGTTTTAGGCTGCTGACCACTGCTCTACAACATTGTCTGAGCAATGAAAAATGACTCTAAATTTGGAGTGTTTAATTAAATAAAAAAAATTAAAATGGTATGACAGGGGTACCATTATGTGCAAGTAAAAGGCTATAAAAATATGAAATGATGATCAAAATTATAACTGTTTTTACATACCATCACACGTTAATTAATTTTAGCACAATTAAATCGATTCGAATGTAATATTTGCTGACTTTACATGCAAATAATTCAGTTTAAAAAAAAATTCAAGCAGTTATATTTTTTTCGAATAACTTATGGTGTTATTTACAATTACTGTAATTTTTACTTACTTTCATTAATTTAAAAAATAAAAACTGGCTGTGACAAATATAATACAATATATTACATTCATAACTGCCAGTACTCTTTAAATATTTTATGAAAAAAACTCAATAATAAGGGCAAGATTTTCAAAAGAAAATTTTAAATGAGGGGCTTTTTACTGTTTTAACATTTAGCAAATGCAGTAAAAAGTCTTATGTGAATTCAGACTTGTCATTCCAAAAAATTACATTTATCTCAAATTTGTTAAATATTATGAATGTAGGACCATAAAATAATTCATTTCTGACAAAAAAGTTAAGCTTCAATACTTATTGTATTTACATTCCAAAACTATTAGAAATTTTTTAATCATTTAATTGAAGAAATACTGAACTAAGTAACAAATTTTAAATAATAATTTAATAAGGGCTATTCCCTAATTTACATTAATAATATGAACTCTTTAAGTTTTCTTAGTTTGCTCAATTCTTTACATATCTTTATGAATTCAGTATAATCAAAAGTATTAATATTTTGTAATATATATTTTTTAAATTATGGTTTGACTAATTATAATTTTGAATTTAAATTATTCTTTTTTACACAATAAAATAAGGTAATTAATAATTTAAAAAATATAAAGTATGGTTCAATATTTAAAATTCTGTTAAAATTGTTTTTTTTTTATGGTATAAAATCAAGAAAAGAGTTCGTTGTCAGAAATTAGTTATTTTATCCTGATCATGTAAAAATTTTTAATAATGTTTTTACATAATTTTTTTTTAGTATGCATATCCTAATTATGATTTTCTTTTTTAAAAAAAGTGTTAAAAATATTTTTTGCTTTAAAGGTGCTTATTTTTTGTTAAAAAATTTGGCTATGCACCCTGTATAATAGGTCCGTTTTTATGCCAATATCTCAATTTTTTCCACATTATTTCGCTTTATTTCTATGCAGCATGAAGTATACCTTCTCTTCATTTGGAGCCAGTGTTTAGTTTTTAAATTCTTTTTATGTTTTTTAAAACTTATAAAAATAGAAGTTTAATTGATACTAACAATTATTTTAATAAAAAATATTAAAACAGCTTGGTTTTTTCTTAAATGAGTTAAATGTATTTTAAGTCCGCAAATACTATGTTCCTTACAATTATTACGATCCTTTTATAGAAACATAAAAATAGTTGCAGACAAATGTAATTTATTGATCCATGAACTTCTTTTAAGTTATAATTTCAAAAAAAAAGTATTTGTAGATTCTCAAATTGATTGCCTTTATGGATATTTTCATAAACTGCTTACTTACAATAAAATATTTATATGGGTACTTGCAGATGAAAAGAAGAAATTATTGCTGTACATATATAAGATAATGATGTAAATTATTATAACTTTTAAATGATGTCATGAAATAAAATCTTGATAAAGAAAAATATCTTCAATGCAAAGAAATGAGTCATTTTTTAAGTATTACCAACAAAAATTTTCTCAATCTGTAGTGTTTCTATTGTCTAAATGGGGACCTTGTATTTTTCTATTATTCCATTTAATTAGTGCAAATAAATAGTGTTAAGAATTTTATTTAATTTTTATTGCTCTTTATTAGCATTAAAAATGTCATGTGAATCTCTCAATATTTTGGTGATTCCTAAAATAACCACTAACTGTAAATAAGAAATTTTAGAAGTGGTTATCTGTGTTCATTGTATGATAAGAACTGTCTCATAATATTTTAGATTATGTTTAAATGCTTTTTAATCAAAGCTTTTGAAGAAGAAAAAAAAATGCAATATCTTTCATGCTAACATGATGTATATTTTATAGCATATAAAAGTGTATTTGCATTTATATTTTTTTATAAATTATATGTCTGTAAAATCCAGTAAATTTAAAATCACAAAAAAATGTATTATGTGACTATGTGTTAACTGGATAGTGCCACCTTTTGCTAATAGTATATAAATACTCTTGTAAAGAATGTAAACTATATTAAACATCCAAACAAAACCTTTTAATCACTCTCCAAAATATACTAACAACTCTGTGGTTGTTGAAAAATTTTAACCAATTTTGTATGAATATTTTGATTTAAACAGTCATTCAAAAATCTCTGTTTGAATCAGTTTTAACAAAATAATGATAAAAAATATCTTTGCTTTAAACACAATAAGTTTAAATGCACAATAGGCTTTTCTTAAACTACGTATTTAGGTTACAATAAAATTTAATAGCTTATCAAATGTCTTATCCAATTAATAAGTTTTAAAACATTTATTAAGCTGTTACTTTTTACATTTTCTCCTTTTAGTGTTGGCATATTTTTATTCATCAGAAAATTATGAGAAACTTCAGTTTACAAAGCAGCTTTTTTGTAGTCTTAAATTTCCTGTTTGTGTACAAAAGGCTGGCCATCTAGTAAAACATACCTCGGATAGAGCTTTTTGCATGCCATCAATTGTTTTGTACAAATGTGTTATTTTGAATCATAAATGTACTATACATTTTATTTGTTACTTCATTGTATATATTATTCATTTTTAATGTATTAGGGTATCCTTTGATTCTTCATAAAGGATATCTTTTATGTTTCTTGAGATATTGTCTTATAAAAAGATTACGAAGATACTCAATCTAATAATAAATAAAATGTATCTACATCTATTGGGTCTATTCTTTTTAAGTAACAAAATTATTGTTATATTAATTCTACATACTTATAGTAAAAAGCGCTTAAAGGTGCTTATTTTCGTTAAAGGTGCTTTTTTCATTTGGTGTTTTTAAAAATTGCTTAATTTTCCCTTTTTCAAAATGATAATTTTCCTTTACTATGTTGATTTTCGCTGCAAACTATCCAAAAAGACACAGTTCACTTTGTTCTATTCAACATTTTTACAATTAATTCAAGCTCCATCTATTTCCGCGTATTGCCAGCCGTAGCGTATGAAAACGCCATTCGTTTTACGCGATTCAAAATTTCATGATTTTTGACAATTGTCGAAAAAAATGCCAGAAGGGTTTTTTGTTTTTTGACATGTCAGTTAAAACAAGATAAAACTGTCAATTTTCAAAACTTTCCAACCCTGCTTAGTTATGATATTATTTTAAAGTTCTGAAAAATATTTTTTGAGTACTTATTCTTTGTTGAATAATTTGGCTGTGCACCCTGTTAAAAAAAATGAACTGAAGGTATTCCCTCTTTTAGAGAAGTTAAGTCTTCTGGAGATGTTTTTTTAACATGGCTATTATTCTTCATTAACTACAACAAGTCATATTCGCTTGTTGCGCTTTTGGTTTATGGGTAGAAAAATCGCAAGTCATGGTGCTTTTTTGCACGAAATTGTGTATCTTGATTCATATTTCAATATCAGTTAACACAATCCCTTTTATTTTTTTGCTGTGGAATCCTAAGATCGGCTTTCTTTTGACGAAACCCTGAGAGCAACAGCTTTCTTTTGGCGAAACCCTGAGAGCAACAGCTTTCTTTTGGCGAAACCCTGAGCAATTTCATCAGCAATCGTGTATACATTAATTAGCGAAAGATGAGTTATTTTGAAAATATGTAATGATCTAAATTTTATTAATTCATTTGATATTATTTAGTGAATAAATGAAGAATGAAATTTTTTTATCATTTCATTTTATCAATATTAGTTTTAAAATAGGATTTTATGTCAGAAAGTTGAATTTACAGGTTTGGAGCGGCATCTAGTCTAGTTCATAATTTGATTATAGTGCTTGTATAAATTGAAAATGAATATGCTGAAATATAGTTTCCATTAAAATTAGAACTAAAGAGGAAGAAAATATTCGTAAAGAAACATACTTCTGTTGAATTTGTTTATTTTTATTCGATTTGAAATTGTTCACAAATACATGTCTTTTTCATAATTCATTCATTATATTGCTATTAGAAAAAGCATTGTTTTGGGATTTCTTTTGTTTCATGTATTTCCATTTAAAAAAAATTTAAGAATAGCGGAAATATTAAATAAATAATGAATTATTAATTGAATATTTAAAAAATTTGATTAGAGGCTACGAAAATAACTAGTTGAAAAAAATTCCTAACTCTTGGAAAGTTCTATTACTATGGTACTGTTAAAATATTATACTATAAGCCTGTTATAGTGCTGTTGGATTCTCTACAACAATTCTAATAACTAGCAATTTCCAGAAAAATTTGAATTCATAAATATGATTTCATCTTTTCCTCCATTGTTATAAAAAGCGAGTGAGCAATCATTAGCATGAAAAGCAAAGATACATCGCATACAGAAGGCCATCAACTATATAACATCTACTGAAGAAAACAAAACCGTCATTAATGAAGTGTAAATTATTTTTATTTAGATGTGCACGCCTTCAGAGCTATGACTAAATTGAGAAGGTGACTTCAAATTGTGATGGCATGTCTTCGAATCACCCTCAGGGTTTCCCAGACCGTCGCCAAAGTGCAGCTCTAGTGTGACGTAAATTAAGTCCTACCATTTAGAAAAACTTTTTCAGTTACCACAAATGAAGCTTCGAATCTTGACTTTCTAGAATGATATCCTTTAATTTTAGCTGGTATAATATGAATTTCCAGCATGCAACTTTCGAGCAGTGATTCCAGATTCTCTGAAATGGTCGACTTCTTTTGGGAGGACTAACTTAATAAAATTCACTAGCAATCGTGATCGTTTTTATTCAAATGCATATATTTTTTTTTCTTCTCTAATTTGACACTTTTAATTTATTGATTAAGACAGACATTTAATTTATCAATAATTTCATGATAAAATGATAGATTTCAAATTTTATAAGGAAAAAAATAATCGAAACTTTGGTAAGCTTTTCCCCCCCTTATTTTATCAATTTTACTTCTTTTTCTATTTCTCTCTTATTAAAATCATCCTAAGGCTGAATGAAAAGTATGTCTCTTTCTCTCTCTCATAATTCCAGAATAGTTTATTTTATCGCCCTGACAGCGGCAAATTTAGCCCCCAATTCTAAAGTGTATTCGAAATTTTCAATCAGTTCGTTCGGTAGAGCTGTATAAAAACGAATTTTTTCATTGGCCTTGAACTTACCATTGAACCATTGATAAAAATGAGACTGCAAAGAATTTTCTTTCGAACATTTTAAAGATTACATCAATGATATTTGCTGGATTATAGCTCGAGTTCTTAGCACATATTTTTAAAAATTTTTATTCATTATGTTTGAGAAAGTCGATGATCAGCATAAAGATGATAGCATTGGCTAATTACATCACCAAAATAGCATTTATAATGTTATTTATAACCATGTGTTCTAATTGTTTATAATTGTGCTTTTTAACGTTAATGTATAAAACTAAATAATTTAAAACCAACAGTAATTAAAATTAGAGTTATGTATTGAAAAGAAAAAAATTAATGAAAAATAGTACTAATTCGTATGGGAGAAACTTAATATCGCCATAAGTCGTCTATGATACTTGATTATATTTATTATTAGTTGGCAATTTAATATTTTTTAAAAATAGCCATGTCTTAGAAAGCAAAATTAAAGGAAAACGGTACTTATTTCATTAAGGCCATATACTTTTGATTCCAATCAGGCTTAATTAATTTTGATAATATGTACAAATTGGAATTTAAAAAAATATTTATTTTGATGAGATGAACTACTTAAAAGGTGTTTTGCTTAATCTGTTCTGAAGGGATTAAATATAATAGTAAATTTAAAAAAGGAAATTATTTTAGCTTTATTAATTGTGTTGATGTATGTCCTTAAGTTTCGTGCAGGTTTTCGTGATGTTTGTTCCGTATTGATATATTGATTGCTCACTTTCTTCCACTTCTATGGGTATTCATGTAGTATATTAATGATTGCCAATCTTTACATTTTAGTTATAAAGAAAAACACACACACATCAAAATGTTAAATTCTTTTATTTATTTAATTATAAATACACTGTTCACTTAAAAGTATTCTTCAATGTATATTCATCTGTATAAAATAGGATAATTATTAACTGAAGACAAGAAATAGTCTGTAATATATCTAAAACATCTTTAGGAACTGATTTCTCTCACATAAACAAAAGATACTATGCTTCTAAATAAATAACAAACAGTTTCCATTAAATTATTTAATAGGTAAGCTATAATAAAGATAGTTTTAATTTGCCTTATCATAGCTCATTTTAATTATAATTCTGAATTACCAAAATTATAAACAAATTGTACATAATAGTTTTTGATATAAATTATAAGGTATAGAATTCGAACATTAAGTTTTTCATGTGGCAATACTCATAACATGCTGCTTAAATTTTATTGTACTAAATTTTTGATAAAGCTTATGATTCTAAAGGGGTGCCAAATAATGAGAATTTTATGTAGTTTCTATAAATTACATAGAAAGTTTTCAATTTGAAGATCAATTTTTATTTTGTCAAGGATAGATAAATTTATTTATTTGCAATTAAATTCAAAGAAATCTTTTCAAAATTTTATAATTTTCATTTCTTTATCCTCATGAAATAAAATATAATGCAGATTATTTTACTTTATGAACAAAAAAATGACAAGGAGGAACTGCAATTTGAGTTCTTTTTATTTAGTAGTTGAAGGTTATACCAGTAAAATAGGTTTGAAACTAAAAACCCTTGTTACTAGCTATTACATTGATTGTTGAAAACAAACTATGTTATCATAAGTAAATAACTTAAGAGTATAAATGTAAAAAATTTTGAGTTTTACCAATTCCCATATATTTAATAAAACAAAGTAAACAGCAAAAGTTATAATATAGATTGAAAAGTTATATGTATTTTGAACTTCTTCAGACTCTGTTTTAACTTAAACTTTATAAATACCAAGGATATATTTTTAAAAAAAATTTTTTTTGAAGTTATTCTTCAGAATTTCATTTCCAATCAAATAAATATTATCTTCTTTTTTCGCCTAAAGCACAAAGAGGTGTCTTACACTTTAATATGACTTTTTGTTGAAAAGTCTTAACAATTTAATATAAAGAATTGTCAAACAATTTAATATGAAACTTTCACACAAAGGCTATATTATATTGGGGAATATAGCAGATTACCCCGAAGGAAAATAGCCGTTGCAGCCAGCTCATTGACATAGAATTTTTTTTCTTCTATAATGTGGAAATATTTCTTAAGAGACTTAAATTCAATATAGTTTTTATGAAGTTTAAAAGGCTTCTGATTTATAACATTTATAAGCTCTATCCAAAAGTCAGAAGAAAATTTTGTTTTATTATCATAAAATAATAACAGGTCATTGGAAGTGTAGTCTTTATAATCACAACCAATTTTAAACACTTACTAAATTAAGTGGCATAAAAGCTTAAAACCTATAAATGCTACTGAACATTTTACAGAATATTATGATGTATGCTAATTTTATACGATAACACAATAATTATGAAATGCTAAATTAAATAAAATAGGAACTAAAACTAAATATGCTTGCAAAGCCATTACTGTAAGTCAACTTTTCAAATTCCCAAAATTTTACGAAAATCAGGGGGTCGACTTATACAATGTCAATGAATTATAAGCAATGACATAGATATAAATAACTCTGTATTAGCATAATCCTTTCAAAAACTACTTATGCATTACATATAATTAATTTTTCATTTTCCCTCATCACGTATTCTTTACACATAAAGGTTAGTTTTATTTGAGGGATAGCATATCATCATAGCATCTGAGTAGAGGACAAATGTATCATATCTAAAGTGACTATTGTAAAATATTTTTAAATTGAGAACATTTTGTGAACTTAATTTTCTTTTAAAATTTATAAATTTAGTATCTCGTATTCAAAAATAGGTTGTTGATTTATACACCAGGAAATAATGTAATCAAATCAATTAGATTGCCTACACGAGGAAAAGAAACATTCACAAAACATTTAAGTCTAGTTTTATGTAGTAAAAACCTGAGATGCAATTAACATGTCAAAACTTTAGTTAGAAAAATTATTTTTTAATAAAAATCCTGTAATTCATACAAAATAGGATTTTAAGCATTAATTACCTACTTTGTATGAATTACACATGTTAATTGCATCTCAGTGTTGTATCAATCGTGAGATGCAGTTAACATGTCCTCTAAACTTTAGTTAGGAAAAATATTTTTTTATAAAAAGCCTGTAATTCATCCAAAATAGGATTTTAAGCATTAATTCAAAGGGAAAAAAACCAGTATGCTAAGCATTATTTTTAAAAAAAGTTCTATTCATAGAAAAACCATTTAATTATGAGATATTCTTGCGAAATTAGCTTCTTCATTGAACTAGCATTAACCTGCATAATCACAGAAGCAAATCTTTAAAACTAATGATTTATAAATTTACATTTCATCAGGATTTCTTTTAACAATAAATCTAAATTAATATTAGATGGTATGTAAGCCATGTATCTTAAAATTATCAAATCACTTGATTTCATAAATACTTAGTCATTAAATCTTTAATTTTTTTAAACATAAATTCATTAATTATATATAAATTATATATTATTTCTATATAAAAAAAATTGTACTTTTAAGTTAATTAAGCATTACATCACAAACATAGATAAAAACATTAAAACCATAAAGCTCATATTTAGTGACATTGTTTTCACTTTCTTTCATTTTTAAATAAATTATATTGCACTTACAAAAAAAAGTGATCGTAAATCAGCAATGTAAAGCTATAATAAATGAGATTAAATCACTGTGCTAATACAAAAAATTTTGTGTTTTTTTTTTTCAATCAAGGTGTCCTTTAGCAGCATGAGTCAGTCTATTCAGAAGAAACTGCTTATCACGACCTTCTAATACTATTTGAGATTTTAGTATTTTTATCATCTTCCTGTGAGCGATGACAATTGTCCAATAATAATAAACTGCAATACTGTGAACAAATTTAAAAAGGCATTAGTTTGATTGTGCTTTACATTACTTACATAAGCTAAAAATACAAAACACTAAAATTTTAATGCAATAAATGTAACCCAAACTTTAAAACCAAATTTCTCATCATTTGCAAAATTCTGATAATTTTATCTCTTCTATCAATTTCTCAGAAATGGTCAATTACTATTTTTAGCTAATTTATTTTCAACAACTTTAAATATTAAATGAAAACTAACTAGTATGAATTATTCCAGGTTGAGGCATCATAGAATATCTGAAAGATATTTTTACTGACTATTTTTTCTCCAGCAATGCTGTATCAAAATATTTTTGAGGTGAAGATAATGAAGAAATTCATTTGTTTTCTATCTAAAATTAATTAGGTTTTTAAGACCAATCTTTTTAATGGCTAGTTAGAGGCATTTTCATAATTTTTCCAATTGTTGGTCATAAATTTCAACTTATAAATATGTGTATCGTTGAATTCTCTGTTTATGATTACAAGGCTATTCAAACATTATGTAAACATTTTTTGGAGATTTTAGACACCCCTCTCCCTTGTGAGCTAAAATAAGCAAATCACAAACCTCTTCCATGATCATGCAAGAAATTCAATAAACCTTCCTCTCACTCTCCCACTTGTTTTTGGTTTTAACTCAGACAGTAGTAATTTAATTTAAGATTAAATTCAAATAAATGATGTAACTCTATATAGAACAAAATTTATATTTAAATTCATTTTACAGAAGTTTCAGTAGAATATTATATAGGAATATTTTGTGTTTTCTACTTTTAGTCAAAACTCTTCCCCTCTGAAACTGTTCAAAGAAATAAATATATTTCAACTCTTTCTCTCCCCAAACTTAACTTTTATTTCAAATATTATGTTCAAAACTTTTGAAAATAACACGATTTTATTATCTTAATATCCCTACTTAATCCTTATTAGCAAAAATAAGCAAATCATAAATCTCCTCTCCCTGTTATGTGCTTACATAATATTAGAAGAGCCCCAACAAATAAACTCAATTTGACACGAATGTACTAGAAAATATAGCTCCTCAGTGTTGGCCTATCTTTCTTGACCTCACACGAACCTTTACTGTAAATTAGAGTTACCAAAATTTCTAAGAAAAATTTCTTATTGCACTTTCTGAAGTTAATAGTAGATGGCTGCACAAATCATAGATATCAAAAAGGCTTTCCATTGTCATTTAAAAATTAATGAAGTAATGGACCTCATACAGGGTTCAGCTTATTTTTATAACAAACAAAATAGTTAATTACACATACTTACCATAGCAATATAATTGCTGGAAAAAGTACTATTCCACTAAAAATTAAATTGACTATGGAAGCTAGAGAGGATGATTCAGAGTATAATGTGATAGGAATAGCATCCACCATTGCAGAATAATATCTAAAAGGGCTGCAGGCAGGTGATGGGTCAAGACTGGGAAAAATAAATAGCACAGTATTCATGAGAAATTAATAGGAAACAACATAACAGCAAATAATGATCTGAAGAAAAATCTTAAACTAACACTTTCAACGTTAACTTTTTTTTTTTTAATTTTGCATAGCACTGGCAACTATAAAAATTTTCTACCAAAATCATTTTTAAAATATCAATGGTATAGCAAGTCTTGAATCAAAAGAATAAAGTTCTGAAAGCATTGGTTTCAAATCCTCATCAATCTTATTGTATCAATTTATAGCATTTTAAATAATTTTACAATTCAATTCTAAACATCTATTTATAAATTTTGACTTGATTGCAAAAAATTTAATGCAAAGTGAAAAAGGCATAAAATTGATTTGTAATTACATGTTTTGAAGAATTGGAGAATTTTAAGTCGAATAGAGATTTTAATAATACTATGTGCAATTTATTCTAACAATAGTTTTGCTTTTTTTTAATAACAATGCGGAAAATAAAAAAAAGATTTCATCATTGCTATTACTTAAGTATTACTATTGGTTGCAATTTGAGAAGTAACACAGTTTTTATAGTTTTACAAAACTTATAAATCTTTATTTTGATTGCTTCTTGCAATGTAGGTGTGAGATAATAGTTCTTTTTTCCTTTCCATTAATTTTTCTTTTAAATGTGCACTGCTGCCAAATATTATGCATTGTGTCTAAATTACAACATTACATTCAAAATAAGTTTTAAAATTTAGGGAGTTATTTCTAAACAAAAAGGAAATATAATAACAGATGAAATGAAAACTTAGAAAGTATTTATAATTTCTTCCACTTAATTTTAACATTTTTACTAATTATTACTTTTAATCTGGATATTTTTACAATAAATTTCCATACAAATTTCACACAATATTTTATAAATATGAGAAAAAATTATAGAATTTATAATTCTTTTAGTATACTCTTCTGCCTTTATCACTAGGGCACATAGTTAATATTTTTTTAATTATGTTCTCATATTTGCAGTCCAATACAAAAAAAAAACAAGCATCTCCAGGTGTGGAGAACTCATAAAATATGAAGAAATGCAGGCTTCTTGGAAGGCATAACAGTCCCAGAGATGCCCGCTATTCAAGACTACAAATTCTACACACAAAATGCAGTCAGGAGCGTCAACAAGTCCAATATGGGATAAATATGCTTGTAAAAAGTCATAAATATGCCTGTAAAAACCTGAAACTGGAAACCCTGATAGCCCTACGAAGTTTCCTGGGGACACATGTTCTTCCAAGAAGCATCAAGAGCTCCTTCTCGGTAAAAATTTGCTTGTTGACATCGAATTTTTGTTTTTATTAACAGTTTATCATTTCTCGGGATAGCAGGAGAATCGGGAGAAAAACAGTTTAGATCATTTAAAAAGTCAGAAATACGAAGAATATCTTAAGATATGTAAGAAACACACATATCTTGAAATATTCTTCGTATTTCTGATTTTTTAAACTAAAATAAAAAAAATTGGTTTCAGTTGCTTTTAGCGCTTTTTCATTTGGATTTATGATTTAAATGTTATTTATTTATTTCGTCTTTTTCAGAATTTGTGTAAATCAGTTTTATTCTTTGATTATACAATTTAGATAATATAGTAGATAACATCTTTGCCTTAAGACTAGATACCAGATCATATTTTCAATGTCTATACTATTCTAAGTGGCTCAGAATTAACCTTTCGGTCACGTTCCTGGCAGTTTCAAAGTTGGAAAAGTCTACACACAGTTGGGAAGCATGGTTAAGAGATCATTATACTATCACCAATTTCAGTGATATAAATTTTTGTAGTATAGTAAGTACATCAGGGGTCTGTCCAGACATTTTGTAAAAGGTCCTGTTTTTGTAAAATTTTGAAAAAATTACTCGTAATTTGTGAATGTAAAATAAACGTTAAGTCACATTCTTTCAACCAGTGTCCTGCTTTTATGAATGTGTACAAATAGGGTCTGATTAATGCAGAAAACTTTTTCAAGGAGTTTTTAAATTGTAAATAGATAACAAGATTATGCTCAGCACTGCAAAATTATAATTGAAAAAAATTAAATTTTCAAAAATAAACAGCTATTGCTGCTTCTAAATTAGAGATGCAACATACAAATATTTGGTACTTAGCTTATACTGCTGAACGCAGAATATTAATTTAGGACGAATAATGGAAGAAGTGTCTGTGGAAGACAAAACTTAATTCGTTTACATCCATCTTTCTTGTTTTGCCCTCTGGGAAGGGTTTATTCGATTAACAAAGCAATAATGAAAATAAACAAATTTGTGATGAGTCCGTTTTTAAGCTAAAATATTTCATGAAGGGTCCATTTATATGAAAAGATATTTCGTGAAGGATCTGTTAACGGACCCAAATTTCTTCTAAACAGACCCCTGTACATGTGACAGTATTGCTTCTAATATTCAAAGCTGAATGAATATCAAAAAAACCTGGCCATTGCCAATAACTCTTGTGTGACATTAACAATGAAACCAAAAAAGAATATCTTAATAGAATTCTTATTATTGTACTATTTGTTAAATAGTTGAAAACTTTTTCACTAATTTTGTAACTGAATTTCACAGTAGATAAAGATAAAAAAAAGAAAGAAAAAAGTGTGATTTTTACCTTGATAATGAATAACCATGAATAATTAGTACAGAAAAAAATGATAGTAGCAAGATCATGATGAACATAGCATTACTGCGTGATGCCTTGTATGGTATGGGAGGAGGTGTACAAAACTTCAACACCAAAACCTAATTAAGGAGAAATAACACAAATAATAATTACACTTATTCATACAAATTGACTCATTTTAGATTTTTTAAACAGTATTTAATGCTATAGCATAAACTTACTCTTTTAATGTAAAATAATATGATGAATTTAATCACAGTTATTAATGGTATTAAAGGTGAATAGACCATACCTAACCTAAAAATACATAAAACAAAATTAGATGTGAGGTTTTCCAAAAAAAAAAAAAAAAAGCACACATTATTTTTAAATAATGATGTTTAAGTTTGCAATTGCAGCTAACCCAACAGTTAAAATGTTGAATAAGACGCCATATAAATAAAACAGTAGTCAATATGGGTTCAAGCATAAATAATTGAGTTAAAATTAGAATGCAGAATTTAATAACAAAGAGCCAGAATCAGTTGTATGTAAATAATATTATAAATTATCAATGAATTTTGACATTAACCCCTTAACGATCGGTTAATTTTCAAGAAAACGGTCATAAAAGTGCCTATTTTTGTGGCTTTTGTAATTGTATTATATTTGATTAGTGCTGCAACTAGTTTAAAATAAACTAATCTACAATTACCTTAAAAATAACCTGGTACTGCCATCAGGTGTGTAAAATGAGAAATAAAATGTTTTCCGGGCAAAAGAAATGAATTAGTTATATTCTTATTGGAGCATTACTACTGAGCACTCCAGTCCGCCAATATCACGGGAGTGAGAAATAGCGAGCGGAATCTCACTCTGTCATTTTCACAGGAGCGAGAAGGAAGGGGTTAAACATTTAATTACAAAAAATTTTAAGAGCAATTGTAGAAAAAAGCCTTTTAAAACTAAGTTACTAAATTAGAATCTGTAACAAAATATTTTAAAAATAGAAACTGTCTTTAAAATTATTTAAATTAATAATTAGAAAAATCCTTTGAAAACAAATTTATTAAATTAGAATCCGTAACCAAATATGTTAAAAATAGAAACTGTCTTTAAATTTATTTAAATTAATAATTAGTTTAATTCCAATGAAATTACACCAAAATCCAATTTTCTAAATAGTCATATTTTGATGCCTGCATAGTGATTCTACAATTAAGAGTAAAAAAATATATTATTTGCTACAAACAAACATAATGCAGACTCACCAGCACAGAGTTTGAGAGTAGACTAGAGACAATACTTGATTTGGGAGATCAAATACTTGCCTACCAACCATTTGTGTCGCTTTGTTTGGGCAACTTCTAACTAAAAGGCTAAAATATAAGATACATTTACTAAATAACTAAAATTTTTAAAGAGGAAATAAGTAAAGTAACTATAATCAGCATCGATTAAAAATTTCGTAAATTTAATAAATTTATAATGGTGGACAAAATTATTTTAGAATACTTTGAAATAACATGAATAGTTAATACTGAATCAATTAATGACTGCATTTGATTTCCTAATCATAAATATTTGTATAATTTTAAGTAGTGACCCACTATTGGTAAAATAAATATAAAAAAGGAGTTTAGAAATCTGGCAGGACCCATATTTTCCAATGTCTAACAGAATCAATGTTTATTCTTGGACACTTTTTAGCCAACCTTTATCAAAAGTTAATAAAATAATTAATAATATTTATAAATATAACAAAAATATACTTTGTATGGTTTTCAAAGTTTAATTTAGTCGAAAAAGAACTAAGAAATCAATGCTGGAATGAATATAGGAAATTATCACTTACTCCCGAGGTAAATCATAAGCAAGAAACAACATTATGTAGACAATGAAATCAGTCACAGCAAGTTTATAAAGCTGCTGGCCAACATATGTTTCCCAACACTGAAATATAAATACAAATATTATTTTTTAAAAAAATGCTCAATAACTTTTTTTTTTCCAGATTTGAGCTTTTCTAAAAAGTTAAAAATTAATTGAGAAGTAAATTGTATGTTCTTACTATAGGTGACTGGCAGGAGGCCAATGTTCCAACTTTACAATCATCTTTAGGCTCACAAACTATTTGTTGGAAAAGTAAACCAACAAGAACGAAAACCGATGATAAACGCAAGAAAACAATCCTAAAACATAAATAATTTACATACATTAAACTGAATTTAATGGGCACAATCTATAAAATTAACACAAAAATTTAAGAGATACAATATGTAATGTTAAAGTAATATCTTGATTAAGTAGTGTACAAAAAAATATGTTTCTTTTAAAGGTACATGAAATGTTCAATTTATTTTAGAATCTGAACTCCGTGTCAAGTTCAATTTGATAAAGATTTAAAATCTTAAACTATATTGATTCTGCACCATACACAATTAAGTCTTAATCTTAAACTGTATTGATTATACATCATACACATTTAACTCTTAATCTTAAACTATATTGATTATGCATCATACACATTTAACTCTTCAATATGGTTTTTCAAGCCACCGAAAGATTACGACCTTCTCCTTCATATTGATTTTTATATTAACTTTTCACGTCATGCAAAATTTTATCAACCAAGTAATTTCTGGATGATAAATTAACAAATAAAAAGAAAATTTAATTCAAAACCTATTTCATACGTATTATAATATTGTTTATGCATCACATAGCATTGCTTAACCATTCAATGATTTTTAAGTTGATAATGGTTCTCTGATCTCCATGCTTTTCCGAAGGGCAAACCAGTTCCTATCAAGTTATTTATAAGATAATGGAGGAGTGACATTTATAGAAATTTGCTGATTTTTGTTATTATTTGCTTTAATTAGAAATTTGAGACTGCAGAATGATAATAGATTACCATAGATATGCTTAAATACATACAGAAAAGTAGAAATAGACATTTGATCAGAGATTTAATAGTATTTATCCCTTTGACGCAGATGCGACACCGGTATCGACTGCTCCTTTTTTCTCAAAAAAAAAATTTACAAATCCTAACTTAAGAATTCAGATAGCTCTCACTCTCAGGAAAAGGCTTATATTCAGAAATACTATGTATATATAAAGTTATTTTACCTGATTAGAGCTATATTTATCTGAGTTTGAGTATTGTATGATTCAAACTTCACTATAGCATTAAATATTATAGGAACAAATATGTTGAGACTAGTAATACACACAGGAGTAAGATACTGCACAAGTAAAGTTTGAACACCAGAATCCTGCAAACGATGACTTTGCATTTCCTAAAAAAAAGGAAGAGTGAAATTAAAAATAAACTTCACACTATTAATATAAAGTTTGGATTTATTTAAATTGCAGTAAGAACAGAGATGTGCTCTACATTATTCACTAAACAATATTTAAAGTAATTTTTCATCTTGTGAGAACTTAAAAATTTTTTTGGGTCCATTGTACATTCATCGATTTTTGTTTTAACAGACAAGTTATGTTCTTTTATAATTGTATTCCTCTGAAATAATGCACGGTGAAATTTTTTCATGAAAGCATTATATTTTATAAAAAATAGCACACTATTAAAATAACTGAATATTAAAGTGGTTTCTCAATATTGAACATTTTGATATCCAGGAAAATTGTTTTAAAAGCCATTATGAATAACACTTGAAAACTTCTCAGATTTGTCATATTCCTCAAGGGTTTATATTTAGTTCCTATTCAATGTCTTTTCTGCCATTCTGGTCAAATTCTACTTCACCAAAAGATGCTATAGAGATTTATAAGAGTGCTAAATCAGACATGGAAAAAAAAGTACAAATATGAACTTTTTTTGCATCTTCTCTTACCACAATTTTGATGATGTTAAATAAAGTAGATCTGATGCATGTGCAGAAGGTTTCATTAAACAAAAGAAAACAGCAACAATATTATTTTGGCTTGTTCTGTATATCATTTATTTCTATTAAATATTTCTAAAACAATAACAGTGTATATTTTATAAACTAAAAAATTAAAGATTTTTTTTAATAAAAAATCTAAATAATACCTACTCTTAATTGAAAATTTACAACTTTATAAATTAAGTAGTAACTCCCACATAAGGCAGCAAGAACAAAAGCATTCAGAAAAAAACGTGAAGTATGAACTTTAAACTTTTGTGACTTTGACCACCCTTTTACTTCTCTGCGCCTTCTTTCTTCCGCTAGTGTACTCTGCAATATAAATCATAAGGAAAATATTATTTGCGTGAGCCTATCAGTCTTTCATTGTTTATCAATCCAAAAAAAGCAAAACTAACTACCTTTATTTCATGCAAAATGCTTCTATGCCTGATTATACTGCTCTTTTTATTCTCAATACAGTAATCCCAGGAGCAAAATAATATATTTGAATAGGCTAAATAATTACTCTTTCTAGCTAAAACAGTTTCTTGAACACCATGGGAAGAACTAAAAAAGAAATAAAACTGAAATAAATATCAAAATCTTTAAATTTCTTTAACTAAATAAGAAAAAATTCAATAACAATCTATGCACTCCCACAGCAGACTGTTGTAGGCCAGGTTGGTTGTGCAGGTTAAGGCTCCACAATTTTGTAACCAATGGTATGATAGTGGGACTGGATTCAGCATTATAGGACTAAGTAGGACATTACGCACAAGCTGTTTATATTGAGTATTTAATAAAAATCATCAATTTGAAGTTTGGTGGTCACTAAATCGTCGATGAGAACCAAATCCCAATCCTTCACAATGACTGCTTCATCACTTTAACTGAGTGATTGCGAATTATTCAATGTAAATATTTTTTTTTAAAAATTACTATCTTTTTTTTCAGATTTTAATTTTACTTTTTTTACATTTAATTCGTTAACTCTTGTTCAGAAACACATTTATTTATACAAAAATGAATTAGTTTAAGTTAATTTTCTGTTTAACTTAAAGTAAAAAATAGTTCAATATTAATAATTAGTAGCAATGTCCCTAATTAATAAACTAAACAATCCTTTAACTAATGATCCAACTAAATGAAGCAATATTTAATTGATTAGAAGATTTTCTAGCCTATTTTAGGCTATTTATTTTTACTGTGTATTTTTATTATTTAATTTTTTCACTGTGACAAATGAAATATATAGCAATTTTTAAAAATTTGTTTGATTCATTATTAATTTTTTCTTTAAATTTTTCAGATATTTGAAATTTTTAAAAATCTAAAATTTAAATTGCTAGCACTAGAAAAGTCTCTGACACAGTAATACCTTTAACTTTTTAGCACTTAATAAAGTATTCCAACAATAGCTCATTGAGAGCCAGGGGAGGGTCATGGAAGTAAAAGCTCCACAATTTCGTGATCAATGATATGATGAAGACAATGTAGGCCATATTTACTGCCCAGACAAGCTGGTACCTAGCAATCTAGAGCTGGGTGGGCTTACAGTGGCCACCAGGGATCAAATCCCAGTTCTTCACAATGACAGTAGAGACCCTGGACCCCTGAGCCATCACGGCTCTATATTTAACACATACAATTTTAAATTCAGAAAATTAATAAATGTACTTTAATGGAAAATAACTCAAATAAAATAGCTTTTAACAAAAATCTACAATTGTGATAATCTTTAACACAGAGAGTTTTTTCAAGAGTTGTCACAAATATGTTAGAACTTGTTTGATTTATAACTATGTTTAATAAATTTGAATTAGTTAATGCAGAGGAAATCAAAATATCATTTTATGGAAGATAAATTTAAACAATAATCCTAAATGTGTTAAAGAATTGTTGTCCAAATTAAAAAATGTATTCTCTGGAAATTCAATAAAATAAAATAAATTTAATTTGGAGAGGAATAGAAATTTACTCACTACTGAACCATCATCAATATACACATGATGGATGAAACAAAAAATACACAAAGAAATGCAACAGGCATATTATAAGGATAACCAAAGAACAAGATTTGAGTAGGTGTATAATAGCCCAGAAAAAGAATGGTAGATTGAAGCCAACCCTAAGTGTAAAAAAATAATAATTAAAATGCTACAATATATTTAATAAACAAGATAATTAAAGAAAACTTTGCTAAACTCATAAAAAACTCATAAGTGGGGACATAGTAGTTAGAAAAGAATAAGCAATCAGTAGTGTTACAGTTCATAGAGCAATAAACTTTTTTTTTTACTTAGAGCATGATACTGGGCATAATATTTCAATTAAAATATTGCAAGTCTGATGTCACATTATTAACTCTTTAATTTTATACTCTATACTTATATAACTTTTAATGCAATGTTGAGTCATTATTTTTCATTTTTAAATTTCCAATACTTTACTTTATTTTTGCAAATTTAAGAGATATTTTGTGTTCTCATATTCTGTTTACAATTTTATCTATTTATTACAAAATAAAAAGCAAACATAACTTAAGTGACTTAAGGTTACATATGCAAAGTTTAATTCAGTATTCTCAAGAATTCTCAAAACAAAAATTATGCTCAAATATCAGAAATAAGAATTCTTTTAAAAACAAGTAAAAATATTGGAATCTTTTAAAAAGATTTTAGCTGCACAGAGAAATTTCTAGCTCATTGTATGCTAGGTTAAGCTCATTTCAGAGGATGGGAAAACTCCAGAATTTCACTTTAGGCCTCAACTAAAGCATTTCAAACAATTCCAATATTTTCAAAAAATCACAAATTTCCTGAGTTCATAATAACTAAAGAGGTGGTTTAATCAGTTAATAATATTATTGATGACCTTGGTAAAAATTATCATATTTTTCTTTACAACTGAAAGCTCACCAAATTTTATTGATGTAAAAGAGAAAGACGTGACATTTTTTTTTCTTTTTTTTAAAGGAAGGAAGAAAAAGGAATTTTTTCTATTATTACATAGACTAAAAATATTATTTCCTGGACAAAATAATTAATAAAGCTGTTCTTAAGTCAGTATCACAAAATTTAACAACTACCCTTTTTTCTCTGTATATGTGGGGGTTTTTTAGGCCTATTCCAGTGCTTAAAAAAAAAAAAAAAAAAAANAAAAAAAAAAAAAAAAAAAAAAAAAAAAAAAAAAAAAAAAAAAGAAGAGCTTAGTCCAACGATACATTTTTATGTTGTTTAAATAAGGTAAAATTGAAAAAAAATTTATGAAAATTTTTATTCTTTTGATGACGTTAAAAGCTAATGCACTTCATTTCGTTTCTTTCTTTCAAAAGCTCTTAGTTCAGTCTAAACAATCTAACCAAAACAGTCAATTCTAGATGTGTTTTTAATCAAAGTCATTTATCAAAATAATAGAAAATAGCATAAATCTGTCAATTTCAACATTTAGGAATTTTTATGGCAATTTTAAGATTAAATTTGTGCATTTGCCTATAAAAATAAGATCATGATAATATAAATTTCTCATGCTATTGTTAATTGTCACATAACAAACTTTTACAGTATTTTAAAACAAATTTTATTAGTTTATCAAAAAACTGTACTTAATGTATTTGTATTTAGAGATAAAAATAAACAAAACTGTACTTACAGTTCCTTGAAGTAAATCTTGTGCTCCACTAAGTACATCAATTGACTTAGATAGCTCTTCCTTCTTGTATCGACTTTCACACATTTCCGATAATTTACGCCTTTGTTCATCAGTGTAGTTTCTCTGGTCATAGTTTATATTTTCAATAGTATCATTAGTCAAATAACGATTCAAAAGTGAGCCTAAGTCAGATATCAACTCTTTATTTTTAAAGTCGAAAGGTAGACGATCAGTTCTTTTCTAAAACGAAACAATATTATAACTTGACTTATAAAAGTATCCAGATTAAAAGATGCGTCAGGACAAAAAGTATTAGAAACTTAGTTTATTTGCTTATAAATACTTTTTTTCTTAAGAAGTAGCAAACACAATTGTATATTTTATTTAAAGTTACAAAGAGTCATTTGATTTCAAGCAGGATGGGCAAATTCACAACATATAGAAACAGTTAATTGCTTACATTGTTATTTTTCTTGACAAATAGCAAACAAACCTACATATTTTATTTAATGAAACAAAGAGTTAACTAAATTTCAAGTCAAAACCAATTCAAAACCAAAAGAAACAGTATCAAATTGCTTACATTTAAGTTGACAAATAACAAATACACTTGTACATTTTATTTAAAGCTACAAAGAATTAATAGATTTCCAATTTGACAGACAAGTTCACAAATAGTATTGAATTGCTTACATTTATATTTTTCTTGGCGAATAGGAAACACATTTGAATACTTTATTTAATGCAGTGAGTTAATTGATTTCAAGCCTGATTGGCAAATTCAGAATATATAAAAATAGTATTTGATTGCTTATATTTATATTCTCTTGACAAATCCAAACACACATGTATATTTTATTTAATGTAACACGAATTAGTTGATTTCAGATTGAGAGGCAAGTCATAACATACAGAAATAGTATTTAATATTCCTTACATTTATGTATCTCTAGCCAAATACCGACACACTTCTTTATTTTATTAAATACTATTAAGAATTAATTAATCTTCAGTCTGATAGGTAAACTCACAACAGAATTAAATTTATAGATAAACTATCTTTTATAAGGCAAATCTACATATCTACAAAAAAAAAATCATGTAAAAAAAGAAAACTGGAAAATCTGTTAAATACATACACATAAAACAAAATAATTTGGAACATAAAAAAAAATATTTGCTTTAAAATGACAAAGTAAGTTGTAAAAGCTTAAAGGAGGAACAGATTTACGAATATAGCTATATTTGGAAATAGTATAAAACACTAATTTATTCTAACAAGTTCTTAAATATGATAGTTTTCAATAATAAAATGTTTCCTAAACAGATTCTTTATAATTATACACATTTTAAAACAGATTTTTGCAAATTCCCTAAAATGTCAGTTTATCTCTTCTTTAATTAAGCTTTTAACAATATCACAATAAAAACTAGTAACATTTCTAATTAATAAGGATAATTATTCAATATTTAGTTATACAGTCATAAACCTAATAATATATGACTTTATCGACTTTGAAGGAAAAAAAGTGGATAAAAACAATAAACTTTTTTAAAAAGGGATAACTAATGATTTATAGTTTCATAATATATTATGATTAGAGTAGTTCTTTAATTTAAAAATAATAACTGTCATTATTGTATGAAGTCGGTATTTTTTATTATTTCTTTATATATATTATAGAGATTGGCATAGAACAACATTTTACAGAATCTATATTACTGCTGGCATTTTCACAAATTTAATTTATTTATTTTCACTTTTTGATAAATTAAAATTTAACCAATTTCTAATATCTATATATATTACAGTAGTTATAACTCTAATATATAATAATTATAGTAGTTTAAAATTAGCATTTTTTAAAATGAGAAGATTGGTTTAAAACTTAAAATAAAACAAGCTATAATAAATTAAAATACTAACTAATGGTTTTGGAGTGCTTCTTGGATCAGGATATTGATTATATTTTTCTAAGAAGAAGGTGTTATTAGGAGCATAATTAATTTTCTTGAGAGGAACTCTTGAAAATATTGAATGAGGCAAAGTGATGAAAATCAAGAAAGTAATGAAGAGAATGAGGTTCAAGAAAATAAGCCACCTCAAAAACACAAAATAGGAGACAACTCCAGTTCCATGTAAACCTAAAAAAGGTAATCAACTGTTTAGTCCAGTTTAAAGAGAAAAAAAAATTAAATCTTTTGAAAAAATGCAAACTGAAATAAACATAAAAATAATTTTTTTTAATACAAATATACTTACATTTACCTCATTTTTATATGCTGGCTAAAACAAAGTTGGAATTGGTCAGAAAATTTTGTTTTTAACACTTAACTAAACTAAATATATATAATAAAATAAGAAGTTAACTATTAAAATAAGAAATAAAATTTTTTGTCTATTTTTTTTTAGAAAAAAAAAGGGTTTTTTTTTGCAACACTGTATTTGATTTCATGAATTAATTTAGGTCATAGCTAATTTATATAATTAAATGAACTAATTTGTTAAAAAATACAGGTTAAAAAATGCAGCTCAGACCAAAATTTATAATTTTTCAGAGTGCTTCAAAGATATCAAAATACATATGTAAACTACAACTACATTCAAATTATGGTTCCTAGAAAATTATGAAGTAATACTGATTAAAATATAAGTCCAAATTTTATGATTTAATTCATACCACATTTAAATCAATCTACAGCTAGTAAATCATATATAGAAGATCAGTCGTTATGGTTTTGTTTATGAAATTTAATTTAAATTATTACTCTTTATATACTGGTACTTTAATTTTCTAAACCGATTTAGGTTATAGACTATAAGATTTAAATTTTGAATCTTTTTTTAATTTTTAGAAAGACTAAACGATTTAAAAACTTAAAAAGATTGTAATTAATTTCAAATAAGATTTTTTATTTTATTTTAAGATTAATTACTACTATAAAGAATGTTTTTAAGACTACAATATTATTTTAATAATATAGATATATAACCTATTGCCCACGGGATATAAATTGCCCCAGAAATCTTCTAACTTGGCCTGGAAACTAAGTTAAATATTAATAAAATTTTAAAGAAAAAAAATCTTTTTTAATCTTTAACCATGCTCCGTAACAAGAATGACTGATTTAGTTCATAACTTTCCCAAATAACCGATAATGAACCACTTTCTTTTAAAAGATTTGTTTGTGGCAATGGTTTCATTGCTGGCAGAAAATGTAATTTTCCGCAACTTTGCAGGATAAAAAAAAGATAAATAAAAAAAATTAGAAATTCGACATCTATGACATTAATCTGATAGTAACTATACTAACAAATTTTGTTTTCAGAACAACAGGTAAATTTAACTTTTGGGATAGATACAAATTTTAATTTTCTTTATATACCTACACATTTTTCTTAATAATTTGCTTTGTAATCTTGTAAGTATATCTTATAACATTTTTTTAATTAAATACTTTTATTCATTTATTTTTATTACTGTCCGAAGTAAGAAATTAGCTATATAAGTGTAAGTCATCTATTTCACTCACAAAAACAATCCCAATAAGTCTAGCATTTTTACATTTATATTATGATATTATTGACAACCAACATTGAAGTTCTCATAACTATCTATGCAAAATGGTTGTGCAGCTCTAATAATGAAATTTTTTTTCATGATATATTAGATTAGTATTTTGATAGATTGAATAGATTACTATGATTTTCAACATTTGTACTTTTATGCAATTATGACAATAATAAATAAAGTTCTTATGCTTAATATTTTGAATATTAAAGTAATTCACTTAAAGTAAATCAAATATTAAAACTTGCAATTACGATAAAATTTTGATATTTAACATTCCTGCATGCTTAATAGTATACTAAGAGGAAGATATTATTACACAGTAAAACTAAATTACTGAAAATTTAATTATAACCAAATTTCATTCAAGAACATGATTTTCACAAATTTACCTTCAATGCGTTTTAATGTTGCATGCCATAATTCAAACTTTGTTGTAGATTGCTGAACACTTGCCCACATGTCATTAACCTAAAAAATAAAAATAAAAAATATTAATAAAATAAATATTTTTCATATTTTAAAAGAAAATAAGATTGTTTCAATTTCAATTTATTATGGAAAAACAAACAAAAAAATAAAAACTTATACTGTAAGACAAACATTAAAAACATCAAAAACCAAAAGAGAATATTAGTTTGAAAGAGAATATCAATAAAAAAATAATTAAAAAAACAAGACAACCTAAAAAATAAAAATGCATAAACATAAATCCTATAAATTTAAATGAAAACACAAGTATAATTTTAAAAAAATACTTGTAAGCACGGATAAAATTTTTTTTAAAAAGATAGGCAGAAATTTTGGCTCTATAAACATGTTGCAGCATCATTTCTGAGACTCAAAATAAAGAGAAATACTGAAATATAGCAGAATCAATTAAGCAAAGTAAGTTGTTAATCATAAACACGAACAAAGTAAATTTTAAAACAAAATATCTAAATACCCATTTTACATTTATTAAATAAACATCTAAAAAATTTAAACATCTAAATTATAACATCTAAATTATAAAAAATCTTAATTTTCAGAATTTATTTATGAAAATAAATTAAAAAAATAATGTTTTGATTATTCGAAGTAAGCTTGGTTCCATTTGCTTTGGACAATCAAGATTCTACAGTATATTTAAATTATAGATATTCATTTTAGATCAAAAATTTCAGAAGAATTTATTGTATTTATCAAATACTTTATGAAATTCATTGATTAAAAAAGGTTAAAAAAATAAAGGCATTTAAGTACAGTGGAACTTTTTGACCAATTTCAAGTTTCTGCATTAAAACAAAATTTAAAATTTGTGAAAATCATGCATTAAATGTATTTAACAAATTACACCCAAAATAAACATTTTGTAAATCTAAGTTAAAACATGAAATCTAAGCTATTTCATGAAGGAAATTTCAATTTCAGAGTTACAATATTCAGTAACTGAGAGCTGAAATATTATAGTAATAAAATTTTTTTTGGAGAGTAGAGAGTGAAACTTATAAAAAGATCAACTAAAGTGACAATATCTTACACATGAAGTTGTATTCACAACTTAGATAAACTTTGGTTTATAAAAAACACCTAATATGTTTCTTTTCTTCTAATGTGACCACTAAACCCCCTTTTTTTTTTTTAAATTATTCATTAATGTAAGTTAAAAAAAAAAAAAAAAGATGTTATAGATTAAAGTTCTACTAAAAAAGAAATTATAAAACGCAATGCATTAAAAAAGAATGCAACGTCTTTTGATTGCAAAAAAGTAAACAGATAAAAATATTTTGATTATTATTATTTAAGTTACAATTATAATGCCACAATAGAGAAAACTTGTTAAAAGATGTTTTTGCAAACATTTTACCTAATCAATAATTGTAAAGTTCATCATAAGAGTTATGTGCTATAAGATATAAATATTTAAAATAAGATATTTACTTGCAACCATACAGATTTATCCTGTCGATCATGAATGGGTATTGTATCCAAAATAGCATTCCTAAAAATATTAAAATATTCATAATTACTTAGAATTCAAGAAATACACTGATGTAACATTTAAAATTCTAATACAACTTTAACTGATCATATTTTCAAAAAAAGTATATAGTGATACCAGGAATCGTAAATATCATGATATTTTCGAAAATATCAAAAATATCAGATATTTTGATATATATCCGATATTTTGATATATATTCAAATTTTTGTTTTATATTTAGTATCTTCAATATAAATTAACTTTATTGTTAGGAATTGTTTTTCAGACATTATATACAAATTTAAAACGTAAAATAATTCATTTTATATACATTCTAAATTCCTAATGTTAATTGTAATTAATAAATTTATAATTTTTATAAAATAAAACATACATTTCTTTTTAAATAAAAAAGGTTCTCTGAAACAAAATCTTTTGCAATCACCAAAATACAGGACATTTTTATTTTACTNAGCAGGTGCAATCTAAAACAAGATTTTTGTAGGAAGTAAAGATAGTGTGAATGGTAGCATGAGTTTGTGGAGTGATTAAAAGAAATCTTGAAATAACGTGGGGGATATTTTAGAAATTTTGCTGAAAATATCGAAAATATCATGATATTTATTTCAAAATAAATATCGGATATATATCTTGATATATATCATGATATATATCCATTGATATATATCAAGGAACCCTGAGTGATATAAAGAATTTTTTTGTTGTCTTTGTAAACAAATATGCCAACTTGTAGATAAGAAGCAATTTTCCCAGAGTAAGTAAAAATGTTAGGAGCATAGGATTAGAATCAATTATAGGTTCTTTCTATTTTGTATTTCCGTAACTTAAACGTCTGGAAATTATGAATAATTAATTCATGGTAGATATTATGCTTGCATTAAATTTTATTACCATAATAGATCTTTAGCTATTTTAAGCAAGATGATTGTATATAAAATCTATGGCTCTTGTTTTAATCATCATAAGTGACTAAAAATTTTTATAAAAGTAAAACTAACAGCACTAAATGCCAATACAAACAGTTTACATTGATTGCTTTAATTAATATTAACTGTCAAATACTCATTCCTCATTGAAAAAAAATGGAAATAGTATATGATATTTAAAAAAAAAAATTAATCTAATTTTTAACATTTTATAAAAGTTTATAATAAAAAAATAAGTTTGGACAGTTTTGATTTTTTCTGTTGTATTACAATTTAGATATTTCCGATTGGTGCTAATGAGTTTATCTAGAATATTTCAAAACACTTTTTAACTGTAGAAATTTCTAAAATATCCATATTGTGAAGGAAAAAAAACCTATTTTATATTGTTTATCATGCAATGAGGATTCACTCAATATAAATTACTTGCTAATAGATACAGAACATACAAAGTCAAGAAGTAGCTAGCATTGAAATATAATCCTACCTATTTATACTGTTACAAGTCTAGTTAAAAAAATACTAAAGGCATTTAAGAAATGAAAAAAAAATAGTAAAATTGAAGAAATAAAAATGGCAAAATTTCAAACTTTTTATCCAGAGCCTCTTGATTTTCATAGCAACTGACCACATGTGAATGACGTGAAGTGCTAAAGCACTTTTTTGACCAGCAACTTCGTTTGTCATTTAAAACTTCCACTTCCATAAAAGAAGGAATCAAATTTCTTTTCTTTCCTTTAAGTCTCAAAGTGTCTGAAAATATACGAGCATCATTTATTGTCATAACTTTGTCTTTCTTTTGACGACTATCCCCATACTTTAAATAGGTGTCGTTTTCAGAAATACTATCACTCTCAATTTTGTTTGATTCATCATTAAAACGCTTCCTGGGAGAAATTCTAACACTTAGATTGTTTTGTGATTCATCAGTATGGTATTGTGGAACAGATTCATCACCTGAATGATATTCTCTAAAATGTTTATCAGGTCTCATACGAATAGATCTCTGTTCATCGTTCAAAACAATTTGGTGGTGACTATGGTGTCTAAAATTTTCATCTCTTTCAGGTACACAATTATCCTCTTGCTTATTGATTGTTTTTACTTTTGATCTAGCACCAGTTTCTTTTGATACATTTCCAGCATATATTATTTTGTTTCTAGAAGATCCTGATTCTAATCTATCGACAAAAACTTTGCTATATTTTGTTTCCTCAGAGAATTGGTCAAAGGGTTCCCTTTCATAATTTTCTGTTGTGTTAGGTGAGAGCTTTGTGCTTTGTTTATCTTCTGAATCATATGTTTCAGAAAACTTTTTATTGTGAGAATCACGTTTAGAACCTTGATAATCAAGAAAATGTTCTCTTTTATCAGAATATTGGATAAACCTCTTGTTTACGCTTTGCTCTTGATAATTGCCTTGCCCTGCAATATTTTTACTATCATATTTTGTGTCATGATAATCAGGTGAATACCCACCAACTTGTTGATTATTGACAGGTCGAACAAACCTCATATTTAAATCTTGCACTTTATAATTCACTTGTGTTGCACTATTCCTATCATCATAATTTGACTTTTGATTGTCAGAAAAATGCTCACCAACTTGTTTATTTCTATCAGGCTGAACTAATCTACTATTTAAATTTTGTTCTTCATAACTCACTTGTCTTTTATTAATTCTATCATCATATTTTGAGTCTCGATAGTCATGTTTCCTATTTAAATTTTGTTCTTCATAACTCACTTGTCTTGCATTAATTCTATCATCATATTTTGAGTCTTGATAGTCATGCTTCCTATTTAGATTTTGTTCTTCGTAACTCACTTGTCTTGCATTAATTCTATCATCATATTTTGAGTCTTGATAGTCATGAAAATGTTCTTTAATAGGTTCATTTTTATTAGGTTGAATAAATCTTCTATTTACGCTTTGTTCTTCATAACTCACTTGTCTTGCACTCATTCTATCATTATATTTTGAGTCCTCATAGTCATCAAAATGCTCATTATTATTAGGTTGAATAAACCTTCTATTTAAGCTTTGTTCTTGATAATTCACTTGTCTGGCACTATTTCCATCATCAGCATAATATGGCTTAATTTCTCTAACTTTTGAAATTTTTTGTTCATTACCTTCATAATTTTTTGATACTTTAATACCACTCCGAGAAAAATCCTGCTGTTTATGATAATCAACATTAGCCAGATTAGCTGCTTGTTTACCTTCTATATTAATTTCATAGTTAAATGAATCAGATTCAATATATTTTGGTTTGTTTTTTGAAAGCTTACTTACAGAAATATTAGATTCCATATAATTATGACTATTTGTATATGGCTGCAGTTTCTTATTTTTATTAATGTATGGTGTTTCTCGATGCAAATCAGTTTGAATAACATCTTTAGCAACACCTTGCGAATACAGTTTTGGATCTTTCTTGGAAGAACTTCTTTTGCTGAATGAATATTCATTTTGATATTCAGAACTCAGATGGGATTGATGCCTTTTGGGATGAGAAACAACTTCATCATGCTGAGAAGCTTTTTTAGCTTGCTCATTTAAACCAATTGAATGCTCAGGGAGATCTGCAGCCCTCAATTCCACAAATCTTTCTGTTCTATCTCTGCTTTGCATTTTTGCAACATAACTGTTACCTTTCCCTTCAAATTCTTGAAGCTCAACTGTATTTTGATAGGATGAATTTGGAGGGTGTCTTGAATTTCCTCTCAAAGAAAACGGATGAATGTTTTCCCCATATTCATCACGATTCTGATGAATGTTATTAACATGCCTTCTATCCATTATGCCACAGGTACTTTTTAGAAACTGATGAATACGGTGAACATCTTTACTCAATATTTATCTGTATAGATTATTTTAAGAAAATGGATGAATATTTTCCTTATATTCATCAGGATCCTGATGAAAGTTATTCACATATCCAAGGTTTTTAAAAAACTGATGAATATTTAAAAAGGCTTCAGACAATAGTTATCAGTGAAGATAACTTTATAAATTTAAACACCTGACAATATCTAGAACTCATCAGATTAAAGAGCATTACTAAATAATAAAAGGCAGGTTACTAAGCAATTGAGATATGAGAACATTAATAAATCGAAAGTGAAAGAGACAGTGCAAAGATAAGATAATACGGAAGCAGCAAATAAAAAAAAGCTACTGATAAGAGTTCTGCAAATAGAAATGTCTTTTGCTTAATAACAATGAAAGAGGTGGAATTTAAGACTTATCATCCTCACACAAAAACTATCTCTAAAACAAATAAATAAAATTTCCTATTTATTTAATCTCTTTTATATTAGTTCCATTTTTAAGTTCTTAAATTAATATGAAATGCTTTGAATTAAAATCATTTTTGGCAAAATCATTTTCAATTACACAAAATTTTAGAAAAATTAAAAATGATAATAATTGATGTTACTGAAAAGTTTAGAAATATGAACTCAATAAAAATACCTGTATTTCTTTTTCTCACTCATTCGAATAGGAAAATTTCTTATGTTTTGTAATTCTTTTTTCTTTTCTTCATCATTAAGATCAGCACCAAATTCTTCAAAACTGTCAACCTAAATAATAAAATTTAAATTGAACAATTATTAATAAAATTTCCTTTTACATACTATCTAAAGCACTAATATTTTTTATGCTCAAAATTTTATGTTGATTTTATCACAAGTACTGTTTTTGTGAGAAACTGGGATCAAGAAGTAAAAAATATATTAAAGCAAGCAGGTATCAATATAGTAACCAATCAACTATAACCCAGAACCTGAGACCAGATTCTTCAAAGCTTTCCAGCAAAGGAAGAAAAAATAAGCTTAATAAATGTAAGTAAAATTTTATAATAAATATATAATACACCAATTCATAATATTTTTTATTCATAAATTTATGTTGGTTTTTCACAAGGCATTGGTCAAGAATAGATAAGTGCAAGTAAAGAGCATTATATAAATAAAGCTTTTTACCAAGATTAAAACTTAAGATATAAATGTTAAAAACTGTTAACTATATAAACGAAAATTGAACTTAAGAAATGTAAACGAAATTTCAAAATAAATATAAACGGCTTGGTGCAAAGTAGTAATAAGCAACAATTTATCTAAAGGTGTTACTTTTGTATCAAACTATTCTTCAGTATTAGTTTTGTATTAGTTTATCTATCATAGAGTTCAAGATAGGTAATTTAAAAGTTTTTGAGTTTACATTAGATAACCACACAGCAGTTAAAAACATCGATGTGGAAATTGTGATTTTTTTCCCTCATTAAAAACACTATTCTGAGTAGTTGGAAAATGTGGTACCAATATTATTACCAGTAGCTCTCCATACCTAAAGTGCTAATTCATAATATTTTTTATTTTCATAGTTTTATATTAATTTCTTAATAGCAATTTTAGAAAGAAAAACAACAGAATTCAAGTATATGAATAAATTAGTTATGGTTCATAAATGACATCACGCTTGGGGAGGGGGGGTTGTGTAATTGTGACAAGGTAGAGAGATAACAAAAAGTGTGGCATCTCACATTTTAGTTAAAATAAAAACATTTAAAATAAGCAAATTAAATAATTTTTCAACAAAATAAATACACATATGATAATTATTATTGTTACACTCACTAATGTCATTAAAATATACAGTCAAAATTTGAAAAATGATTTTTAATGTAAGGCTTGTTTTCTGAGCTGCGTTTTTGTATATGTTTACGTAACATAGTAAAAAATATAGTTAAAAATATATTTAGAAAATATTTCATCTGTTGCGCAAAAGTAAATATTCTAGTTTTCTTGATGTTTTTAATTTATTTCAAGAAGTGAATATGCAATTTTTTCTCAGAACTCACATTAGTACATATACCTTGAATTACAAAATATTTATATGTCAACAATATTCTACAATGTTAAACAACTGCAATCCGTTTCATGACTAAATTTTTTTATTTATTGGCACTGCAAGTAATACTATATCATTGTTTTGAATTATTTCCAGTAAAATCCTTAAATGCATTATCAAGCTATGCACGGCATCCTTTTATGGAAAATACTACCAAAGATGATGATCAATGTCTCGCGACTTTTTCTGACATAATTGATTTTTTAAACTAATTAACTATTTAATTTCAAAATGGAAAAAAAATTGAATTCATATCAGAAGCTTTCCATAAGAAAAGACAAACTTACTTCACATAGTATTGGAGATATTTGTAATGATGGAATATTTGGTTTTCGAGGAATAAATATGTATATTGTTTCATATGTCATATTGGTAGAAATAAAAAAAATTGTAAAAACATTTAACTGAGGTAAACACAGGGCAACAATATTCTACAATGTGAAAGTATCAAATAGCTGAAAGCAATACTTTCACAACACAGTTTCAATGTATTTGATATCATTTATCATTATGTATCATTTTCAACAAAAAACTTACATGAATTACTAAATTAAGTTGTGGACCCTTTTTCAGGAAATATTACCAAAGNTTAATTTCAAAATGGAAAAAAAATTGAATTCATATCAGAAGCTTTCCATAAGAAAAGACAAACTTACTTCACATAGTATTGGAGATATTTGTAATGATGGAATATTTGGTTTTCGAGGAATAAATATGTATATTGTTTCATGTGTCATATTGGTACAAATAAAAAAAATTATAAAAACATTTAACTGAGGTAAACACAGGGCAACAATATTCTACAATGTGAAAGTATTAAATTAACCAAAAGCAATACTTTCACAACACAGTTTTTAATTTCTTGTTTTCAATGTATCTGATATCTTTTATCATTATGTATCATTTTCAGCAAAAAACTTACATGAATTACCAAATTGTGTTGTGAACCCTTTTTCAGGAAATATTACCTAAGATAATATGGGATATCTTATAACTTTTATAATGTAATTTATTTTTCTAAAAATTATTTTCTTATATGAAAATAAATAGTTTTAATAAATTTTAGAAGCTTTAAAACAGGTGACAAGTTTCTGATCGATGCAAAAATTCACTGGGAAAAAAAAAATTTCCCATGGATTCTAGCATTATGTCCAAAATGCTTATTAGTCTGAGACTGTATTGTCAAAAACTACCAATACTAGTCAAAAACTACCTTCAGCAGTTCAAAAAACTAAGTCAGTATTCATAATTCAGTGAGTAGTCCAAAACTCTTATTTTCAGAAAAATTTTGTAGAAGTTTCATTTATTTAATTTAAGCAATACGAAAATATTCAGAAATCAGCAATGACGAATTTTCATATGACAAAGTTAACAACTTATTTAATTAAACTATTATCAAATATTTATCCATGTCTTTAAAATGTATTTAATAAAACCAATTAAATCAATAATAGTTGGTTCAAACCCCTCATTTTTAACTGTTTAAAACTAAATTTCATGTGAAAAATGCTGTTGTGAAAATGGCAAAAACTATAATATGAAAAATAAAAAAATTACTAATTTGACAGCTTTAAAAAAATATATATTATTTAAAAAAAAAAGTTTACATTTAGTAAGTGGTTCAAAATTCCTCTGTTTGAAACTAAATTTTGTAGAGATTTCATTTAGGAAAGCTAAAAGATATTCAATGAAACCAATTGAATCAACAATAATTGGTTCAAACCCTATTATTTTAAACTTTCTAAAAACTAAATAGTGAAAAATTTTATGTGAAAAAAGCTAACAGTTATGAAAATGGCCAAAACTATAATATGTAAAAGAAAAGTAAAAAAAAATACCAATTCTACATCCTTAAAATAGAAAGAAACATATACTTTAGTGTTAATTATTCAAACTATAATGAACTTCAAGGACAAAGCTTCACATATATAACTTACACTAAATCTATAAAGAGTTAAAACTTTCATAATTAACTTGTAAAATTTAAAAAATTAATGAAATCTATGATTTAAATCAAGCTAGTTATAAGCAAGCTTAATTTTATACTACAATAAGTACATTTAAGTGTGCTTATTTTATTGTAAGTAATATTTTGAGAAAATTTAAATACATCTTTGGACAGTTTTGAATAGTAAATACAATGTGCCCTATCCAAAATCAACTAGTGTAGTTTTCTATGTGTAAGTATAAACTTACTCCATCAAATGACTGTGATATTTGTAAAGATGGAAGATTTAGAGATGAGAGAAAACTTGGCTTCTTTGTAACAAATGAGCGTGGCCGAGGCTTATCAACATCATGCTGTTCATTTGTATCAGATTTTCGAGGAAATGTTGAAGCTTTTGCAGTCTTTGTTTTATTTAAAGTTTTATATTTTTTACGACCAATTGTATTACTAGGCAATACACTACAAATTTCAGTTTTTATATCATTTTCGGTCATATCTTCGATGTCATCATCAGAGTCTAAAATTAAAAAGAAATATGAGTATTTTAAATATTCTTTTTATAAGTGAATTTTAAAAAATGTAGTATAAAATGCTTGAGGTATAAAATAAAGATATATTTTTTTTAATTTGCTGTTTCAATTAGCAAAATTTATACATCAAAAATAAGTAATTATTCTGCGTGTTAAGGTTTGCTAAGAAATAAAAAAAATTAGGAATGAAAATAAATAAAATGACAGTTGCAAACACCATAAGAATGCAAACGCAATATAGGAAATAAATAAGTTATTACAAGACAAAAATTATGCAACTATTACAAGTCACAATTATGCAACTTTAATAATACATTATTAAAATTTACATAATCAATTACTTAAAACTTATTGAAAAATTTATAACCCTAAAAGTATATCTGCATTTCACACATTTTTGAAAACAGAAGATAAAAGAAATTCAAAAATCTGAAACATTTGTATAAAAAAAAAAATAAAAAAATCCTCTTTGTGGTTTTAAATATATATTTTATAATATATTTTAATTTTATATAATATATTTCACATTTTGTTTTAAAATATATATGAAAAATGAAGTACAGGTTTATACCTATCATCAAATCAAATTTTAAGTCATTTAAAAATTTTAATCAACGCNAAATATGAGTATTTTAAATATTCTTTTTATAAGTGAATTTTAAAAAATGTAGTATAAAATGCTTGAGGTATAAAATAAAGATATATTTTTTTTAATTTGCTGTTTCAATTAGCAAAATTTATACATCAAAAATAAGTAATTATTCTGCGTGTTAAGGTTTGCTAAGAAATAAAAAAAATTAGGAATGAAAATAAATAAAATGACAGTTGCAAACACCATAAGAATGCAAACGCAATATAGGAAATAAATAAGTTATTACAAGACAAAAATTATGCAACTATTACAAGTCACAATTATGCAACTTTAATAATACATTATTAAAATTTACATAATCAATTACTTAAAACTTATTGAAAAATTTATAACCCTAAAAGTATATCTGCATTTCACATTTTTGAAAACAGAAGATAAAAAAAATTCAAAAATTTGAAACATTTGTACAAAAAAAAAAAAAATCCTCTTTGTGGTTTTAAATATATATTTTATAATATATTTTAATTTTATATAATATATTTCACATTTTGTTTAAAATATATATGAAAAATGAAGTACAGGTTTATACTTATCATCAAATCAAATTTTAAGTCATTTAAACATTTTAATCAACACACATGAGAAGTCATCATGCATTAAAAGTAAAACAGATTGATATCCAAAGAAATTTTAAAAAAAGGAGATAAAATCTATGAAAATTATGATGAACAATGATAAATACAATCAATTTTTACCTCGTGATGATATCCTATTTATGAATGATGTTTCAGGAGCAAAAGTAACATTAGATGGCTTTTTCAGCATCTAAAAATTAAAATTCAGGATAAACTTAAAATTACTTGGGTACATTATTTTATATTGATGATACACTTACAATTCAATATGACTGAAATAAGTATATAGATACATAAATCAGATAAAATCATACATTTCAATAATCATATCATTATAATATTATCATTAATACTAATAGTAGATAAATCTGTGATTGTGTAACTATAAAATTTAAAAATAATAATAATAATACGAATGATAAATTGCACAATTCACATAATAATGAAGGGGTGATCAAAAATAAACATAGCTTTTTAAAATTAAATCCGTTGCAACAGAATCAATACAATATCAAAACATATTAAAACCATCCTTTAACTATATCATTACTGTTCCTTAATAAAATCAAGATATTAGAGTTCATGTGTTTAAGATTTAAAATATTTATGCTTTTTTATTGTCTAAGCATTCAGAGTTTTTGTTTTCTCAAGTTTTCAAAGATATATAACTCATAGATAACAAATTCCTGTCAATCACACAATGAAGGAAAGAATAAAGCTACAAATATGAATTTAATTTCTTAGAGGAATTGAAGAATTAAACATAAGAAATAAAAAAAAAAATGAAATGAGAAGGAATGTACAAGAATCTAAATGAAAGATATGCAATAAAGAAAAAATCTGAGATGTTCATCATCATTCAATATTGATAGGTAATTACCACCCACTTATTAATCCTCACAGTTGAGAAAAAAATAAAACAGCCACAGTGTGGTTTAAAAGGAAGTCAAAGATAAATAAACTAAATAGATTGAATGCCTTACATGTTCAAGGGGATAAACTGTATGGTTAAAATAAATCAATTTTGTTAATTATTTTATTAAAACTAACAAAGAAATATATTTTTGGACTATTTTAAAAACCAGTTCTTGCTCATGTTCAATTATGTTTCAGCTATATCTTAAGGTTCAGGCTACCATTCCTTTGAGTAATATTTATAAGACCCTTTACCAAATTGAAAAATTCCATCGCATGTTTAATCAAAATGTCAAATATAAATAAAAATAGTTAAAACAAATATACATTTTTAAAAAATCTTAAAATTTTTACATCTCCAACAAGTTGTGTCAGTTTACAAAATACGTGTCCTAATAAACGTTTTACATACTCAAGTATCTCTTTTGGATGTATATTGATGCAAACATATTTATTTGCTCATATGAATATAACTATTTATTTAAAAAAAAACTTATTGCATAATTCTCATCGTTTATCAGAAAGTCACAACAGCAAAAGAAAACATGGACATTAAATAGGAATAAACCAATTTTCCATACAAAAAAAAAACTTGCCTGTTTTGACAACATAATTGAATTTCTACAAAAATTTGAAGCAGAGGTTAGAGTTATTAATACAATATACTAATACTAACTACTTAGAAAATTTATTTTCATTAAAAATTTGAAAAGATTGCTTATATGATATTTTCAGGCATTACAGATTAAATATTTATATGCCCAATCCTAATTTTTACATGTTCTGGTATATCAGCTATATAATTTTGGATCCCTTTGTAAATATAATAATTTATGATAGCTATTTGCAAATACGTATAGAGTAACTTGGAAACCTTTTTTTTTTTTTTCATCTATGTACATATGCCTGTTTGAAAAATCAACTGCTTTGTAAAATCAAATTCTCCCAGAACAAATGCAACTTTAATAAATGGCAGGCATTGTATACATTCATACGAGAAAAAAAAATTGCAGAGAAATGAATGTGATCATTTTAACAAAACTGTTGTACCACCTTATTGATGCATTAAGAAAAAGTTGTTTTTCTTACTCTAAAGAAAAGAAAGAAATTGGTTTTAACACAAGACATCAGACAAGATATTACTAAGGTTTATCTTTCTATGATTATTGAATCTCAGAAAGAGTATAAGACTAAAAGATATTAAAATGCATAACTTTAAATATTATTCAGGTGCAAAATTCTTTTTAAATTTGAATTAATTTAAAATAAAGTTATACTAAATAAAATATAAATTTTTTATAACAGGCATAAATTACAAAATGAGAGCAAAAACAATTTTTAAAACAATAAGATTTTTTCTTTACTTTGTCATGAGATTCATCACTAGATGATTCAAAGTCAATGGTATGAGATTCCTGATTTAATTTCTGAAGCTCCATGCCAAATTTCTTATATAAATGCAAGACTTGATTTTTAGTCTTATGGAAAGTTCTATAAAATAAGAAAATTTTAAAGTAAAGAAATTATTATCAATAATCTTATATCTTTAATGGTTACTAAAAACAAACGGCAGGCAAGTTTCTTTCCACCTAGAAAGTATCAAGGAAAAAAGGATGCCTTTACATTCAATGCAAGTTTTTATTTTTTCTAAACTCATAATTCCGTATATATACTTTTAAATATTTTTCATTCAAAATTTATTTATAGAAGCTTTTCTTCCAATTTCTACTAAATGTTTTTTAAAAACAAAACTATGTATCCATATTAGCAAATGAATTAGAAATTTTATAAGTATTCTTTAAAATCAATGTAAATATTGTGTTCTCTAAACATAAGATTTTTTTTAAGGCTTGTTTTCATAAAATATTTGTTTTCAAAATCTGTTCTTACAATTTTGACTAGGTATTTTTAGAAACAGTAAAAACAAAACAACAAGCCCAATTAGAAATCTTATTACTATTTCTTTACAATCAATGTAAATTTTAGCTTTTAAAACTCAATTCCTGATACATAGTTTTAGAGACTTGTTTCAATCAAAAATTTCATTTCAGGTGCTGTTCTTATAATTTTTTACTAAACGTTTTCGGAAACAGTAAAAGCAAAAGCACATATTTCTGTAGTAAACTATAGAAATCTTACTACAATATCTTTTCAATCAATGTAAATTTTTGTGTCTTCTAAGCTTGAAACTCTTTTTATACATTTAAAAAAAATTAAAAGCACATGTACTTTCAAAAACTTGTTTTCATTAAAAAAAAATTTCTAAAAACATAGTAAGAACCACATTTCCATATTAATAAATTAATTAATAATTTCAAATAGTTTCTAAAAACAAACATAGAATTTAATGATTTATATGTAAGGTTACGAAAAAAAAATTTAATCTACAGATAGATTCCTATTTTAGTAACAGGCGCAAAAGTGACATTGATAAGATTTCCGTATTTTCCTTAAGTCACTCTAATACAAAAATTTATTCCATAAATGGTAACCTGTTAAAATAGTTTCCATAGACAGTTACTGTTTAATGGTAAAACGCTAAGATTACTAAAGCATATAAACATTAGTAAACAGATTATATACTTCTATTCCTAACGGAGGAAGTAAAAAGTGACTGAGCCAAAAAAACCTTCCAGTAAAACTATATATTTCATTAATATTCTATAGTACGTTAAAGCAACGCTTTTAAGTGCACCATCAATGGCATTATTAATATATTAATACTTAACATAGCGCTAGGATACGAAAAAGCTTAACATAATGTAATCGCAATTTAAAATTTTACTTTAAATGAGATTTTTGTGTTACGATAATCCCCCCTCGTGAATTTTAACGTTAGATAAAAAAAACTAATGAAGATAAAATACTGTAATGTAATACAAAATTAAGTATTATAACCATTAAAATGATGAAAACACAGCATAGAAACAAATTAAAAAATTTTTATTCCTACACTTATTTTGCATCGAAACCATATTCTTAAGAAATTCCTGTCATATCAAAAATTCAAGATGGAACAGAAATATTTCGCATAGAAATTATAATAATTCACAAACAACGAGAAACGAAAATTTTGAATTGTATTTTTGTTTATTTTCTATAAGAGTTCAATTGATCTAGTCAGCTTCTGGCTGATCGTTTCTGTAGCGTAGTTGGGACTTCAACTAGCTCATAAACCGGTAGAAGGGGAAAAATATGCGTTTTCGGATAAGCGAGCGAGAATCTTATGGGTGAAATACAATTGCCCATGAAAATCAGGTTATCGTTCGTATCTCCGAAATTAAATACGCGATTTTTTTCATATTTAGAGATAAGGGCTCTTCACTGCAAAGCATGTGCATATTCAAAAATAAGTTATAGGCCCGGAAGTTAAACAGAATGGTTCTCGATCACTGAATTCAGTATCACTGAGTAAGTATCACTGACTGTGGTCAGTGAGTTGGCGAGTCACCTTTTTGATCAGCCTGCGAATGGATCGTTTCTCGTTAAAGCGTTCTCTCGTAAAGTGCTCGACTTCGAAAACAAATTATCGTGTTTCCAGTGTAGGGGAGCCATCCCCTTTGCAGCTGGTTGCGGTTCTTTTACCATACTTAAGGTTCAAAACAACGAGTCCAGTTGTTCAACGATTCCAGTCGTTCAATATCATGAATATTTTCATGAAACTCAGAAATATTAGATGGATTTAAATAAAGACAATGAAAAATATTTAAATAAGAATTAAGAAATTAGCAGAATAATTCCGCAACTAGTTATGTATTTATGAATATATAGTCGCAAAAGCACCATTGTTGTTGTAGTTCATTTACGTCGCACTAGAGCTGCACAATGGGCTATTGGAGACGGTCTGGGGAACATAAAAGTACCATTTAAAACACCCATTTTACCGTTGAGTGATTAATGTGTCAGTCGTTTTAGATACGAATATTTGGGCAAGACCAGACAATGATTATGTTTGGCCTGAAACCAATAAGAGTTTTTTGTAACCTCTTTACTTGGAAAATTAACTATGCTCAATAAAAAATGTTTTATTTCAACAAAATATTTTACGTTTTGATTTATTTTTATTTCAACAAAATGTATAATTTAATTTTCTACTCCATGCCGAGTGCGAAAAAAAGAAAATACAATCCTTTCAGCATTTTATATTAAAATCGAGGTTGATTAATGATTAAAAAGAAGATTTTTGTTGTAATTTATTTTATAAAGCAATACATTACCTAGAAGTATAATACTTTTTCTCGTTGCTCCCAACCCTGTTTAAGGGTGAGATTTATTTATTTATTTTTAATTCCTATTTCATTCACAACTATGTCACCTGCAAACTAGAAGTAATTTTTGATTTATAATTTTGATGATTGCAAGTTTTGCATGCAAAATTCGCACTTTTATTCCAAAGAATAAATTGTTAAACCATTATTTAAAACTATTTTATCAGTTGCAGTCGTATTGACATTCCGCCATCGTCTTGAAAAAAATACCGACAAAGCGCAATAATGAAATGATGAAAAACATGTAGAAAACGCTTTGTTTCTGGATTGTCATAGGGAGAAATATTTTCCTACTAGTTTTATCTAATTTCGGTGTTAAACTGCGTATCGGAGATTTTCTCGCAACTGCAAGTCAATATTCAATTAACTTTCAAACCTTTGTTCATCGTATAAACAAAACACAACAGCAAAGGTCAATAAATATAATTATTAGATAAGGTTTTTCGAAACTGCATACCGGCATTTACTACTTATACCTATTTCTACAAATTTTTCAGTTTTATGCGCAGAAGAAATCAGCTTCATGCTACTACCAATACAAAACTCCTATACTTAATTCTATGCAACAAATATTTATAGATAAATACTTAAAAACGATATTTTCACTTCATTAGCAAATAAATGGATGAAATCAATCTTTTTATTAAGTGTATTTATTTTTATTAAGTTTACCATTAGTACATTAATCTATACACTGATGTTTTAAAATACATTCCAACATAATATTCATAAATTTTTCAGGAGCATCAATGTGAATATTGTGTGTTGTTCCTTCAATGTAGAAAAATTGAGCCTTAGGGAATGTTTCGAGAATTTCATCTGTATGCTCATACCTAAAATAAAAGGGGAAATGAATATGAATGCTTCATCGAAAACTTTTAATAAATAATATCTATAATCGTTGTTTAAAATTGATTAACTCAATATTATTATTATTATTATTATTATTTGCATAAGTATAAAGGTGAGTCAGACAAAATAGGATAGGGGAAAAAAATCGAGAACCGGAATTTTTTTTTTACTAAGCTTCTACTGCCTTTTATCAGAAATTGCATGATACTAGTTGCTGACAGGCACCATGGTAACTAACTTTATTTGGCAGTAGCTTTATTTGCTCTAACTTTATTTGCGAAAAATCACAATTTTTATGTTTCTTGATTTTCATTTCTCAGAACTTCATTGTTTTGCAACTGAAAAAACAACGTATGTGTTTTACAAAAGACATGCAGCAATTCTGATTTTTCAATTTCATGGCTAAGAGGATCATAAAATTGTCAACTCCCCCCCCCCATTATTAAAATAACTACAAAATATTGCTTTTCATTTCCTGCCTATAATTCCTGCATTCTTATGATAGTTAACACTTAGACAATAAATGAAGAACTTTTCAGGAAAGCTAACAGATGCATGTCTTCGAACAATTTAAAGTTCAGAACTAGAATAGTTCATTTTGGAGCTGAAATTCAGCTGCGTGAAAACGAAACTCAGAAGCGAACAGATGCAGTTCACTTAGGGCAGTGGTCGGCAAAGTGCGGCTCCGGAGCCGCATGTGGCTCTTTGGCTCCTTAAGTGCGGCTCTGGCACAAATATCCACGGAAGGCGCAATAATAGTTTCATTTTAAAAAAAACTTGGTGAGAAAAATAATTACATCTTATTTTGATAAATTAAAATTCTTCTATAAATCGAGAACATGTATAATTTTTTGTTTAAGTTAAAAGATAGATAGGTAATTAAAATTTTATATTGTAGTAAAAATACGTAACGAACATCGAGTTAAAGTTTATTAGTTTTCGTAAACGTAAACACAAACCATGCACAAGCTACAGGCTGAGATTGTTCGTATGTTTTCGGCGTACACCAGTGTGATGCAAAGGTACCACAAGCATGCGCACATACTTTTTCTAAAGGAGTGGGGGTACAAATTGGCATCACAACACAAGTGGTCTGCTTTGAATGACCTGGAGAAGGAAGACATGATCATATTCAACGCTTGGAATAGTATTCCTGACTCTTACGATCAGCTGAAAAAGCTCGTGTTTGCTGTTCTTTCCCTTTTCGGTTCTACATATATATGCGAACAATCTTTTTCAAGCATGTACATTATCAAGAGTAAACTGAGAAGTCCTCTTATTGATGAGAACTTGGAATCATGAACTTAAACTAAACTCAGTGGCGCGACAGCCCATAGAGGGCCAATGCCTACTGTGCCCATCTCAGTTTTCTTGACCTTGGGCTCTGGGGTGCAGGAGCAGATGTTCCGGTCAGGTGGTCAGTCGACGCGGAACCCCCAGTGTTTAGTTCCCAAGCATGCTTGGTACTCATTTATCGAGCCACTGATTAGATGAAAGGCTGAGTCAACCCTGCCCGGCTCCAGGATCGAACCAGGGACCTGTGGCACGACAGCGCGAAGCGCTACCGCTCAGCCACCGGGCGTCGACTTGGAATCATACCTAAAATTAAAAACAACAGCATACAGATCTGACTTACTCAAACTTTCCATGGAGATGCAAGCACATTGTTCGCATTAATAAATATTTATTAAGTATGAAATTTAGTTTTATTTAGTGTACTACTTATTTAGTGTAATAAAAGTTTACTAAACAAGCAGATTTGGCTCCCAATTTGTTTTAAAACTTGTTGTAATGTTCATATTTGACTCTTTGGCTAAAAAGTTTGCCGACCACTGACTTAGGGCAATAGATGCAAGTAACTTTATTTTTAATTTTTTTCTTTTATCCCTAATTATGTTTTGTATTATTCATGGTTTATTTCAGCTTTAATTAATTGATTAAAGGCGATTTAATTTTCCAATTTATTTCATTACTGAATGAAAAATGCTGTTTTTAAAATTAATTTTGAGTTCCTCTGATGGTATTTTGCAGAAAGATTTCCGAAAAGTATCAAGTATCTGTCACAGAAAACTTTTTAAAATTAATAATAAAGAAAGAAAGAAAGAAGAAAGGAAAGAAAGAAAGGAAGGAAGGAAGAACGGACGAAAGAAGGAAAAGAAAGTAATTTTAACACGACTTTTATCAATTATACTTTACCATATCTATTTGTTCTGTTACAAAACCCTCATAAAACATCGTTTTATGAGGGTTTGAATTCATCATTCATTTTTAAAGCAAGTACTTTTACTTTTTTTTTTCTTCTTTAAAAGCCTCATTGAGTAAATTTTAAACTTTTCGATCGAAAACAGTCGATTTTTTTAAAGTTTTAGAGATTTTTTTTTTGTGGATTTGGATTTATGAATTTTGTTATTTTCTTTTTTAAATTATTATTGTATAAGATTAGAAATATAATTATAAAAATTATACAGCATGAACTTTATTTATGCATAATTTTGTCGATCTTCACTATTATTGTTAACAATTTATTTTAGATTTGTAAATGGTTATTTTTTGAACTCACGTACTCCCAAGGGGACGTGGCAGAATTTTTTCGGGCTATCTGTGACAAACTTCCCTAGCATTAATATTTTTCTTCCCGATACTTTTAATCATAACAATTACTAATTTAAAGTAACAGAAACGTTGTGTTTACAGACGAAAGTATAAACTAAAAATGTATAAAAAATTTTAATTTTAAAAGTGATATTTCTTTGAAATTCTAATATTATATGCGCTTTCTCGTATTTTGTAAGCGGAAAATGCACTAATTATTTCCTGCTTCGAATTTTGTAAATCATTACAAAAATTGAGATTCGTAAACAAATTAAACGATAATAAATTCAAATTTGTACATAATCGTAAAATTCGTGCAGTAACTCCAAAATAAAGATCGACGACGAATCACGCGAATAGGACTCTTTAGAAAAAGAGATACTCAAATATGTGTGTCAAACATGGTGTTTCTTAAAGGGAAAAAAAGTGAAAGAAAGATCTTCATTTCTAAGGCAAATAATATTTTAAATTTTAGCGATTTCTGAATTTCTTTATTTTGTATTATCAATTTGAAATTCTAGCTGAAGCCAGTCATTACGGACTTTCTTTTTTGAATCCCAAATGAGAATAGAAAAATCACGATTATTTCTTTAATCTCTGATGCGCAAAAAAGACATATTTCAAACAAAAATTCTGCAGGAAAAGAAAAAAAAACTTTTTTCGAAAACTTATGCAGAAAGGAGAACCAAAAATTTCCCTTCCCCAAATGAAAAATCTTTCTGCAAAAACTCTGTAACGTTCTGCGAAAATGTCATCGTGCCGCCGCAATTCCGCCACTGGGTGTGGAAATATACTTGTTGAACCACCACTAGATGGCATTGTTAACTGTCAAAAGATTCTTGTAGAAAAAAGACATCTACGCTTTTTAAAGTAGTTGTAGTAGTAACCATTGTCATGTATACATCTTCTTAAAATATTTCCTTTTGTTGGTCTGGTTATTTGAGTAGTTTTCTTTAATTTAAGAAAACGAGAATAAATCTGTGTAATTATCAACCCATTAGGAATTAATTTAAAGGCAATAGAGAAACAGGGAGTACAATACTTACACTTTACACCAAGAGTTGGGCGAAATTATGAAATATATTGGTCCGTCGTAAATACCAGTTACTGGTGGCAATTCCAAGAGTTCTCTACGTATATTGAAAAATAGATCAACATTATCTTTTAAATCATAGGTCCCATCATCCATCTGTTTCAAATTATAATCAATTTGGCATAATTTCTCTCTACCACTGATTAAATTCTGAAAAATAAATATTTATTATAAATTATTGTATTTGACCAAGAATAATGAGGTAATAACAGATATTCAAAACTCTCGTGGTAATAATTAGTTAAAGGGGTTTTTCTGGTCTAGAGGCCTCATTTTTAACTTCTTAAGTTATGTAATGATAATTATAAAAGATAGTTATGTACTTATAAAAGATAAGTTATATAATGATTTTATGGTTTTATTTCGCCCTTTTCAGCTACATTTCAATTTTTTTCTAGCACGAAATAATTATAAATTAATATACAAAAATGATGCGAAGATGGCAGTATACGCTGCGCTGTGCTCTGATGGACGAGCGTAGCTCGATTTCCATACTGTATAATCTGGCACGGACGAGACCAAAAATTAACGATTATTTATTAGTGTAACTATGGTTAAAACCACAAAAATCTGAAGAAAAAAAACTTTTTTTTTTACCTACATAAGTTTTTTCCCTTTTTTTCCATTTTAAAAAAAAGATGGCAAAAATTTATTATTTTTTGGGGGGAATTTACTATTTTAAAATTCAAAAAAAAAAAAAAAAAATCGAAATTTCGGAAAAGTTTTGATTTTTGTTGGTTTAAACCACATCAATCCTTTAAAAATTTCCAAAGTGCCATTAAATTCGATCGAGTAGTTTTTCTGCAAAGCAAAGGTCCAATGAAAGAAGCATGATTTTTGCGTTTATAGTTTTTATTACGTTTCTCTCTGGATTTTTGAAACTTCCCATTAATCGGCAATAATGCATGGGATTATACAGCACGCCTTTCTCGCTATCATACATTTCGTTGGCGCGTATTGCTACCTCCAGCGTCAAAGACTGGCTATCTTTGTTATATACTCGTGACATCCATGATGATGGCAATTCGTCTAAAATCCTCGTTGAAGATCACCATCGTTGCCAATTTCAACCATATTTTTACTGAAATAGATGGATTCTTAGAGAAAATGCCCAAATAAGCGAATCTAGTAATTCATTATTGTTTTGACTGTTCGCGCTAATACATCTTTAATGCAAATTGCCCTTTAGCAGGTCTTCGTATATAGGCCTCATTGCTTCCTGCGCCTGACGGGGAACGGTCGGTCCAATAATCACATTTTTCTTCTAAATCAAATAGTTTCCAGGTAAAACGGTTTTGTCCACATACTTCATATACCACATACTGTATATACTTCATATTGCAATAACTAAACTTTAAATGAACCAATGAAAAAAATAACTAAACTTTAGAGGAAACCTCTTATTTTTTATACTTTACTACATATATTGAAGATTTAACCAAATTAGTTTTTGTACAATAGGTTTATGCAGATAGTGTACGAGAGAACAGATTATATTATGCAAATTTAATAAATTTTTATAAATTGCTATTTTATGCAGTGAATGGAAAATGACAAGTGGCATTTTGGATGCACTGAAATTTCTGGGTTTGTATGTAAATTGTATGGATATTAAGTAATAAATATAAATATTGCTTGGTTTCTATAAAATATAAAATAATTTTACACGAATATATTACATGCTTATTCAAATAAAATGAAAAGTTTAAAGCAATATATTAGTTGTTATCAAATTGAACTGTAGATAAAGATGATGAATGCTTATTAAAGTAAAATAAAAGTTTTAGAGCGATATTTACGATTCACGATGATTGCAAGATCTCGGAGTCTGCCGCCGAAGACGGTACCGATTCGTCGGAGATATAGATCGAAGTATAAGTGGCGAAATCAAATGAGTAATCGAGATGAAACTCAACATGTACTCGAGTACAATCATAAAGATCAATAAGACCAAACCTGAGGTGTCGTATAAATAGATATCCAGAAGGAAAAATCGGTGTATAGTATAATAAGCATAAACAGTGAAGATAAGTGCGAAAAAACGGTAATCATAAACATGAATGACGAAGGCTAAAAAAACAAAATAAATTTTTTTAAAAAAAACCTATACAAAAGTAAGGCGGATAAATAGCGTAAGACAAAATCAAAAAATATTTACATAATAATATGCAATAATGGAACTACATACCCGTAATGGGCGATGCGTAATAAGAGGCAGATAGGCTGATTGAAGTTTACTCAATTAAACAGTAGATTGAGAACATAAATACTTATTTAAGTAAAATAAAAAGTTAAAATCGATATACATATTAGGTTGTTACGAAAGTAAATAGTAGATTAAGATCATACAGGCTGATTCAAGTAAAATAAAAGGTTTAAAGCAATATTTTAAGTGTTACTCAATTAAAATCTAGATTAAGATCATACAGGCTGATTCAAGTTCACTCAATTAAAGTTTTAGTTAGTATTATACATGCTTATTCAAACTGAAAGAAGTTTAAAGAAATATATTGGGTGTTACTCAATTAAACATTAGATTAAGATCATAAATGATTATTTAAGTAAAATAAAAAGTTTATAGCAATATATTATGTGTTACTCAATTGAACATTATATTAAGATTAGAATCCTTATTTAAGTAAAATAAAATGGTGAGATATTAGGTGTTACTCAAGTAAACAACATAATAAAATCATACATGCCAATTCAAGTTAAAATAAAAGGTTTATAAGTGTAACTCAATTAAACAGTAGATTAAGATCATACTGACTGATTTAAGTTTACTCAAGTAAACAGTATATTAAGATAATAATGGCTGATTCAAGTAAAGTAAAAAAATTAAAGCAATATATTGAGTGCTATTCAATTAAACAAGGGCCGGGATAGCCTGATAGGTAGGGCGCTGGGCCCATGTCCGAGAGTTCGTGGGTTCAAACCCCGTCGGCCGAAGACTCCCCGTGTAGTAAAGAGACTGATGCACATTAAATCTGTCGAGTCGCAAAAGTCCTCCATGTTCCCATAACAAATCAATACCTCTGGGGGTACTGGATTGGAGATCGATCGTTCTCTGATTCAGGTCAAAATTACGATCTGTGGATGAGTGAATAGATGAATGAATGGGTCCGCTCTATAAACAAGTCGAATTCTTGGCCATAGATGGCGCCACTGGGAAACAAGAACAATCGCACCCCCTCTGCCTAAACAGGCATACGTCAACAACAACAAATAATTCAATTAAGCACTTGATTAAAATCATGCAAGCTTAGGTAATAAAAGCAAAAGTTTAAATCAATATATTAGGTGTGTCTCAATTAAACAATAGATTAAGATCACAAATGCTTATTCTAGTGAAACAAAAAAAATTAAAGCGTATATTATTAGGAATAAATATAGTATAGGGGAAAATAAAATATTTTACAAGCTTTTCAGGTGGAAGCTGATAATAAAGGTGATCCACTGCGTATTTTATTGCATCAGTTTTATTCATGTATGGTGGTATACTTCGAACAGCTTCAACCCAGTGTCGATAGAAAGATAAACCCATCTCAGCCACATAAGTCAATGAGGCGTTTTTGCTTTGAAATAGATCTTCTACAATTAAGAATTCAACTCTATCTGGCTAAAAAGAAAAAAGAAAAAAAAACAGATTTTAAATTTTTTATTAAAATAAAACATAATATTGAAAAAGTTATTTAGTTGCATTTGGGATATTCCATTAAATGTAATAGGTATTTTTCTCTAAAAGTTGAAATTATAATTGACTGGATAGTGTTGTTCATATTTTTTTCGTAAGAATTGTATGGATATTAGATTTTAAATTCCCTTCAATTTTAACTTACCAAAACATTGTATGAAATTTTAATAAAAATTATGATTGAAAGGATAAAATCTCTTTTATAATAGAATTAATCAATAATAAACAACTATAGCTGCCCTGGAGATTGTTAGGTAAGAGACTTTAGAGACAATTGTTAAAATAGTTCTGGTGATGAATTTACAGATGTTTAAAATTACTCTGTATAAACCAAGCAAATAGTATTTTTTATTGTGATTAATAGCAATTGCAGTTTTTTACTTTTTTAAATTAAAAACTTAATAGAAATATATAATTCTAGGAGGCTTCGCCCCCTGCTCGCTGGAGCTCGCCAACACCCGAAACTGCTTTCGCAGTTCATTTCGGATTGCTTCGCAATCTAATGCTCGCTTTGCTCTCTCATTGGATACGTTCTTAACGTCTAGCTTTTGTATAATTTTTTGAATACTGAAGTTCCGAAAACTTTTCACTGTAGAAAATTCTAAACATGTACATATCAATATTAATTTGAAATTGCAAACAGTTCGCATATTTTTCTTAATCACACTATTCTAAATTTCAGTTGTTGAGAAAAGTAACTGTTGTATGTTTTGTTTTAAAGTCTTTGCCACCAGAGAGCTAAAGCCATGTGCTGTAAAACAATATGAAATAGTAGTCTGCCACTGAACGTCGGATGTAAAGCATCGGCTTTGATGAAGATAATTTTGTATTTTTAATTCTCTGAAGGGCGCCACCTTAATAATATGGAATTTGTAAAATAAATGTATACATTTTTGATTGTTGATGAAGCCCATCATTTTGTGTTTTCATCAGTGTTCAGAAGCAGAACAACTATAAGTTTTTTATTTTATCACAAAAATATAAAATGTATAAAAAACAAAGAAAAGAGTAAGAAAATGAGTATAGTCATAGAAAAAGTTAAAATTATAATATAGTATTTGTCAGTTAAAATAAAACTTTTTGTTTAAGTCATTGCTAACAATTCAAATTTCTCCGAGGCAATTCTAAAGTATAAATTAAGGTAGTATTGTTAAGTTGAAACACAATATTTTTAGTTTTGATGTCAACAATACAATTCAATTTTTCACAAAAACGATTGTTTCCATTGTTAAGTTCAATGTCAACAATTCAAATTTTTCTGAGGCAACTCTTAACCTCTAAATATTATTTTTTTTATGTACACATTTCTAAATGTCAGTATTCAACCACAAAACAACTTAAAGTCCTCAAATTTAGCATGAAGTTGTAAAATGTAATGAAAGAGGGTCATAGCAATAATGAAAGTAGAAGTAAAGTTAGTACTGTAAAATTAAAACAATATTTTTAATCAATGAGCCAAGTTCTTCAAGAAGCAGTTGTAGAAGTAGGTTGTTTATTTAAAACTTTTTATAGAATTTCTTTAAGAACACAATTGTTAATTTGGGCATTTGGCGATACAACACTTTTAGAATTGAAGGATTTGTTACGTCAAGCGCTCAGGTATCATAATTTTGATCTAGTTGCGCTTCTATGTCATTTTGATTTATGTTGCTAAGTTAACTTTCAAAAAATTCTATGGCTGGCAACAGCATTTTTATTTTTTAAGTTGTTTATTTTTATTTCTTTTAGAATTCGTTCTTTTTTTAGCGAAATGTTTTTTAACCTAACAGAATTCTTTGCCGACTGTTCTCTGTATATATGAAGAAAATAAAGTAAATATTTAAGTGTTGTGAAAAGAATCTTATTTAGTTGTACAAAGTACTTCTTTAAAAATGAAAACTGTTGCCACCAGTGGAAAAGAAATACAGCCAAAATTTGGGAGCCACGTAAGAGAATTATATATATTAAATAAATATGTAATATACAAATATAATGTAAGAGTATAATATAAAAATATTAATTTAAAAACTTTATAAAAAGTGAAAAACATTTACAAAAAATTCAACAAAAAATGAAGAATAATTTGAATAGAATTTGAATTCATTGGAATATATACAACTACAACAAAAAGTTATGTTGTCTATTGGTTTTGAACCGACGAAAGATAACGTATGCGTCACCAGGATTTTTGACAAATAGCGGCTCGAACATGTTTTTTTTAATTTTTTTATTTTTTATATATACTTGCGGCTGAAAAATTTTATGTTGTGCATCAAACTTTATTCATAAAAAGTTCGATTTGAAATCAAGATTTTATGCTACAATTGGTGCTCGCCTTGGGAAAGGAGAATTCTCCTTTTTTGGAGAAGTAAAATTTCTTATAAGCCTTCTGAGTCGCAATTTTTTTATTTTTTTTGAAGAGATATTAAAATTTTTTCAATTTCCGTTTGTTTCTGAAAATATAGCTCTTTCATTATAGTTACTAATATAAATAGTTCAGAAGCTGTTTTCTGTACTAAAATAACTCGATGAAAAAAAAAAGAATAAAATTTAGCTTGCCATTTCTTTACATTTGAATCTATAACAGCTGAAGAATTAGATTTTTAGAAAATTATTGCTAAAGTTGCGCACGTGAAATGTTTTAATAATATTACATAATCTCGTTAGTCCCAAATTGGACTGATGGTTTCCAAAAATTTATAACAATAAAACAGTTAGGGTTAAAAAATAAGAGTTCTTGCAGCATATGACGGACCATACACTTTTCTTAGTACTAGTTGGAAATTTTTCCGACAGATGTCGCTAGAAACTTTTTAATTATGGCATTTCTTACGTGTTGTTTTGATGTGTGCAAGTTTTATCATCTGGTTAATGACATTAGTTTGTAATTCGAGGCGAATATTTCAAAAATATCATAACGTTTTATTTTTTTTTTTCACTTATTGAATGATTTTGAGAAATTATGATGTTCAGTTGTTTATCTTTGATTTATAAATTTACTTCTTGCTTTTTCCATCTGCCTAAAAATGTCTGAACTAAAAGAAGAATTTTGGTCTGTAAAATTTATGCTCCTTCATGCTAGTTTGCTGGGTTTTTTTTAATTTTTTTTTATGAATCTCTAAAACCGCCAGTATACTCTGAATTTTATGACATAGTATTTTTTAGTAAACAAGCAAGAATGAATCTTTGTGAAAGTTAAAATAGTTTACCCATTCCATCACAAACTTTTGACACACAGCACCTCCTAGACTATGTGCAATTAATCCTGCCTTGTTGATTTTTTTTAAGTTCATAAAATGAAATAAGTCTTTTGCCATGGCTTCTTGGCTTAGATCTTCTGACCACCCACTATCTCCTATATTTCTTAAATCAATCACAAATGCCTGAAAACAATAATTCAATATTTAGTATTTAGTAGTAAGTTTAAACATATAAATTGCCCATATAAGTTAACAGCAAATTTACATATTGACAAGCGGAGAGAGCCTTGTAATCGTGGATAGAATCTTGTATTCAACATTTAGATTATTATTTGACTTAGAACGCTTAAATATCTACTAGAGATCTATGTCTGTAAACAATGTAATTTTCAGTCGTTATTCGGCCGATACAAGAAAAATGTGCCACAATTTCGAGGCCAAAACAAATTTCCAGTCAATCGAAATTCCGACCACTTTCGAACGAACTTAAACGTTCAAACCTCATCTGGAGATTTGTGTTTAGTGATACAGTAGGGAACCGATTATCCGGAACGATCGGGACCATCGCTATTCCGGATAACTGATTTTTCCGATTTTCTGAATCGCTGCAAAAAGCCGTTTTTTTTTATTGTTGAAGCCAACTAAAAACAAATATTTGGAAATAATCTTAAAAAGAAGAAAAACCGATGAAGTAATACACTAATGATTANAAAAATATTTGGAAATAATCTTAAAAAGAAGAAAAAACGATGAAGTAATACACTAATGACTATTTCCTAAATGATGGTAAGGTAAACATCTTTCAAAAAAGAAGGGAAAATTCTAAAATCTTATGAGGAAAAAAATTGTTTTTCTTTTTTAAAAAAAATGGCGGGAAAATTTATTGAATTTCGTTCCGGTTTTTTGGTTTTCCGGTTTTCTGATTTCCGGATAGCGGGTTCTATACGTACTACAAATTTCTATCGGTTTCTAAGAGTTACAAGCAGAATTTATCGTCAATCGAAATTCCAATCACTATCCGACAAACTACCCAGAAAGCATGTAACCTTACGGCAACCTAGCGTCGGAATTTTATTTTTATTGTCAAGAAAATGTTTGAACTAAAAACCTTTTTCCAATGAAGCGAAAATATTGCAGTTTCAAACCTTTCATCCTAAAAGGACTAAAAATTTTTTTTTAATTAGCTTTTTTAAAAAGTATTGTCACTTAGATAAAATGGTCACTTAAGTCCATACTAACGTTTCAGCTAACGTCACACTAGCGATAGGATCAAATTGCATTGTCAATTAAAATTTCATGACAAGGTTGATTTTAGCTGAGCATACAAGACTTTGCGAACCATATAATTACCTAGATGTAAGATAATTTTCACCTTGAGACTAGCTTTATTAAAGGATTTTTTCACGCTTGAAAACCCTAAGGTTTTTATATAGATGGTTGTTTTCCCATGATTTGGATTAGGGTTTTGTGAGTAGAATAGAACAGATTGTCACCGATCTCGTTTTAAGGTTAGAAGGTTTACACGGTTACGTAAACCGCATAGCAAACCTTTTTAGGTTTACGTTGAAAGGTTTTTGCTGAGTGAAAATAAACCTTATTTTGCTGTTGTTGTTGTAGTTCATTTACGTCGCACTAGAGCTGCACAATGGGCTATTGGCGACGGTCTGGGAAACATCCCTGAGGATGATCCGAAGACATGCCATCACAATTTTGATCCTCTGCAGAGGGGATGGCACCCCCGCTTCGGTAGCCCAACGACCTGCACGCGAAGTCGAACACTTTACGGTAACACAGTTTAACGAGGACCAATACCGTACACCCTCGGTCCCTACGCAGACCGATCCAAGTGGTCACCCACCCGCACACTGACCGCAGCCAGTGATGCTTGACTTCAGTGATCTGATGGGAACCGTGTCTTAACGATCAGTCCACTGCCGGACCTTATTTTGCTATATGGGTATTGAGTTCCTTAATCTTTACTGGCATTCAGGTTGATAATACAGGTTGATGACTACAATTTTCAATAGTTTCCTTACCACTACAAATAGAAAATTTATCGTTAAACGAAATTTTAACCCTTTTATTCCGATAAGTTCTCAATTTGAAACTGGAACCTTTTGCTTAGTAAATGTTTAAATTGTTTTCTTAAAAGTTAAAAAAAAAAAAGTCATTTTTTTTTTACTATCTCTTATTGAAATTTTGTCCATTTTTGTTAAATACGAACTAAAATAAAATGAAATAAAAATTTTAATTTCTCTTTTTTTCGAAATAGAGTCAATATTGAAAATAGTTTATTCTTTTTGTCTGATCTAAATCGAAAAGCGTAGGGCGAATCATTTTCGACATCTACCAGAATTATATACGACATATAACACCATCTTATATCTGGTTAAAACTTGCCGGATGTAAGAGACTCAAAATGGTGGCTATGTTGTTGCCACCATTTTGACGAGTTCGTTGACTGAAAGGAAGTCGAAGACTAGGAGAGGATTGCTAAAGAGATCCTCCTTAGAGAGTCCCATGCAATCCAAGAGGTACTCAGGAGAAGCCTGATAAATTTGGCAATTGGTGCAGGTGACGATGGTTTTCCTGCCCTCGTTGAAAGTGAGGCACTTGATGTGACAGTTAGCAAGCCTTGATAGAACAGTCCGGGTACGTCTGTCACACGGGAGGTCAAGGAACAAACCCGGTTTTAATCCCTTGTACCAATTATGGGTTGGGGGTGTTTTCCACTCCACCGAGATTTTTAATTTTTCCAGAGAGTATAACTCCAAAAATGTAAGTGCAGAAGAGGGAGTTGTTGTAATCCTGCAACCCTCCTTAGCAAGAATATCAGCCATTTCATTCCCGTGGAGATTCACATGGGAAGGTAACCATTGCAAATGAACATCATGATTAAGTGAAATGAGCTTTAATTTAAGCAGGATAGAGATGCTGATCCTGTAGCCCACAAGAGGCCAATCATTAAGATGGTGGAGAGAATTACAGCTGTCAGACAAGATCCATAGGTTATGTTGTTCAAACTGATTTAAAAAAAATTACCTTTCTTTTAGTTTCATCAGCTGCGATTTGTGGAATATCACCCCACACCTCTTTTGATTGCGCAAAACCATGCACGAAAATTAGAGGACACAAAGTTTCATTAGCATCAAACATTGGTTCTGCTATATAATAACCCAGTTTCACTGGAGTAATACTAAAATTAAAAACAAAAAGTCTATAGTTATAATTATACAACCATGTCTTAAAGTTAAGGAGGAAAAAAAAACATATTTTCATAGATAACTTGAATAATACAACAAATCAAATGAAATTTTATATCTCTAAATAATAAACAATTATGCTAGCATTTAAAAGTTATTTAAATTTAAAAAAAATGTAATTTAAATCATTTAATTTTTACATTATCCATATATAACTCTAATAATTAACAGTTACATTAAAAATAAATAGTTATTTAAATTTAAAAAATTACAGTGAAAATCATTTAGTTTGTTACAAACATTATCCATGAAGAATTACTTACTCTTTCATAATTATCTCTAATAATTAAAAATTAATAATTATTTAAGTTGAAAAAATTAGGATTTAAAACATAAAGTTTGTAACATGTATTATGCATAAATAATTAAATAATTACTTACTCTTCCATATTTAGCTCTAAAAATTATCTCAACTCTTAAAATTAGCTGTACTAGCAATTAACACTTATTTAAATTTAAAAACTACAATTTAAAACATTAGTTTATAGAAGCATAATCTGGTTACAGTTGTTAAGTTCACAATGAAATAAAATAGAATAGTAATTATACTGTGTTAAAATAGAACAGTAATAGCGCCATTAGTAACACATTTACAATTTTCTTTTGACCTTGACATACTAATTGTTTAATGTTTTTGTGACGCATAGCAAGACAAAATGTAACTAATTCACGCATACAATATTGTTGTAAGAAAGTTTTCGCGTAATTATGATTATTTCTAAGAGAAATTAAAAGTGCGATCTTTGATAATTTCTATTTATTACTCTATTTCAATATTTTATTATTATTATTATTATTATCATTATTTTTTAATAATCATCCTTGAACAGCCGACCCAATTTTAGGACTTACGACTACTGATGTTCAACTCCGTAGCCCTGTAATTTTGAACCCATTCCAGAAGACAAGAGATCTCCTGGATCAAGTATTGTGAGAAATTTGACTTAGTGGAGGATTTTACGAGGGAACTGACCCGTATTAGCGTTACACAGAGAAAAAAAGACAAAAACCTCACACAATTAGCCTAACGGTAAGGGAACTCTAACCCATGATCCGTATTTTACGTCAGCACCTGGTGTGGAATTCGTAGCTACCAACCATCTCTGGGATTCGAACCTCATTGGAAGACGAACCCTCTATCCCCTGAGCGACCACGACTCTTTTTTAATATTATTTTACATCCGTCGTTGAACAGCCGACCCACTTTTGGGTTTACGACTACTAATGTTCAACTTCGTAGCCTTGTAATTTTGGCCAATCCAGAAGACAAGGAAACTCCTGGATTGGTACTCCCAGAGGTATTGATTTGTTATGCCAACAGGGAGGATTTTGCGACTCGACAGATTTAACGTGCATCAGTCACCATTTACTACACGGGGAGTCTTCGGCCGGCGGGGATAGAACCAAAGAACTCTTTTGGACATGGGCTCAGTGCCCTGCCAACCAGGCTATCCTGGCCTAAAAAGTGATCATAAAAAATGGCGTCCGTGACAGGACCTGAACCTGCAATCTTCCAATTAATAGCCTGCCCACTCGATTTTGGGCGTTCAGGAAATTTCATTTAATTTTGAATCCATGACAAACAATCTGGCAATAGACCAAGAGCAAATAAAATGATGCATGCAATTTTCACTGAAGACTTGAAGATTGCAGACACGAACAAAAAAAAAAAGAAGTCATAATGATGAAATAAACAGCAGAGAAAGCAACGAAGAAAAATAGTTAGAAATATCAATTCTGCACATTAACTAAAAACTAGTTATTGGAAATGTTTTTTTAAGTGGTGAATTCTAAATAAAAGAAACACAGAGGTAAAATATTAAGCCCCTGTGGAATAATAAGCTTTTAACCCTTTCCTTCTCGCTCGCGTGAAAATGACGGGTTGAGATTTTGTTTATTTCTCGCTCCCGTGATATTGACGGACTGGAAACTAATTCATTTTTTTTTGCCCGGAAAACATTTTATTTCTCATTTTACACACCAGATAGCAGTACCAGGATATTTTTAAGATAATTATAGATAGTTAGTTTATTTTAAACCAGATGCGAGCATTAAAGTCAGCCAATCAGCACTAATCAAATGCGTGTATTTGTGATATGTTATTTGTAATCTTAGCAAAGTTACCTAGTTAGGCTCTTCGTGAATACACCTGGTTTGTGCTCTAGATAAAATTTATTTTTTAACCCCTTCCTTCTCGCTCCCGTGAAAATGGCAGGTTGAGATTTCGTTCGTTATTTCTCGTTCCCGCGATATTGACGGACTGGAAACTAATTCATTTTTTTTTTTGCTCTGAAAACATTTTATTTCTTATTTTACACACCAGTACCAGGATATTTTTAAAACACATATTTTCAAAATTTTCCTTGCTTGCTGGAAAACCAACATTTAACACTGAATGCTGGCTTTTCCTAAAAATTAAATTTTTTTAAATTTCAAGCTAAAAACAAATCAAAATTAAAAAATGAATTTATATATTGCTCATACTCATAGTTTCATATAATTTTCAGGGATAAAAAAATAGACACTTTTATGAAAAAAAAAGAGAAAAAAAACATTCAACAAATTTCATATTTCACGACCTAATAAATGGTAATAATAAAATCATATCGCTAACACTGTTTACATTATTTAAAAAAAAAATTAGCTGATAAATGATGATTATTAAAAAATTGAATGATTATTGAGTGCTATCAGTAAATATTACTTTCTTCAGCACAGTTTGCCCTATCTCTAGAACCAATAATTACTCTGCTGATACAATTTATAAAGCTTTTAAGTTTTAATTAAATCTTTTTTTTTTTTGTCATTGAATGTTTATCTTCATTTTAACAGCCATTATGATTGTAATAATGAACTGCCTTGAATCACTCACAAGTAGTGTGCTGATGAGTAGGTGACGGCAACGTTCGCTGATACTCTATTTTGGTTTAATTTATGCTGAATACAGTATTTGCCAAATTTGTTTAAATCTGTAATGTATTTACAAGGAAGCGTGGTTATACTTAATCGCTTCGTTCATTAATTCTTATGATTGCTAAACGCAGACATTTTCTTTTTGTTTCTGATCTATAAATAGATTGTTGCATCGAAATTAAGAAGTATTTGATTGGAATCCGAAAATGTTTTATTCAGCATCTATCGAAAAAAAAAATACACAGGAAGGCCAGCTGTTTTTGTTTCGGACGTAATAGCAGAACGTGTACCTCTTTTTTCCCAGTCTTTCCTTGTTAATGCATTACTTCATCAAAAAATCAATAAACACTTATTCAAATTCATTTCGTAATTAAATTTGAAGTTTATTATATTGCTCCAAAAATATTAATTTAGGATAGATTAAAATAATTTATATCGAATTTTTAAATTACTTCAGAAATTACAATCCCAATAAAGCCGCGTCTAAGAAAATTATCATCACAAGTTGGCATCCTTTTATGTATAATTTTTAACTATTTTATGTTGTTAAGTTTCAGTCTTGATTGGCAATAAGTAACCATATTAACTAAATTGTATTTTTAAATTTTATAGTAGAATTTTCTGATTAAAATGGTAGAAAGCTTAGTTAAAAATTAGCATTTTTTATACTTATAATCTCATTGCAAAGCATATGACCTGTAAATGTCTGTTTCTTAAGGAAACTATTCTTTTTTTGTATACTTGTTCAATAAATGCCTGCTGCTATAGTTGTGCAATGTATAAACTGTATTTTTGTAGAAAAATTAACTTTGGGAAATTGTGAAAGCGGACTAATTTCTTTTCATCTGTATCTTAAAATTTGGGAAGAGCTTAGTGAAAGAAGGTTCCACATGTGATATTATTGAAAAAAGTAAGATTTTTTTTTCTCCCGGAAGTAACTTAATTTCGAAGATCTCAGTGGTTGAAGGTACTAAGTGATAGATTTTGACTATTTTTGGCGAAGAAGAAAGTTTTAAGAGCATTTGGCGAGAAAGAGTTGATGATTAACTTTAAGTCTCTTTTGGCAACGAATAAAATAAGTTGCCAGGAGTGCAAATGCCATGACGAGAACATTTCAAATGAATGTAAAAGATTTATAACTTTTGAAACTTGGAAGCTATTTTTAACGTATAAAGTTAAAAGCCGATTTATAAGAATTCTTTAGAATTTTTCTCTATTAACTTTGAATGTTATTATACATATAAGGAATGATAAAAGTACCATCTTTATTTTCTCTTATCAAGATATAAATTGAAAGCCGATTTACTAAAATTCTCTAAAATGTCATTTAGAACCATTACCCATTAACTTCTAATATGGCTGAGCATAAAAGGAATGATTCTCAAGGTTTAATCTCTATTTTTTATTGTCAGCGTATAAACTTAGATGTCGATTTACTAGAATTCACTAAAATGTCATTAAGATTCTTCTCCCATTAACTTCTTATATGGCTGTGTCTAATGGAAATGACTTTAAAGGTTCAATTTTTATTTTATGCTGTAATATTTTACTAGAATTTACTAAAATGTCATTTAGAACCTTCATCCATTAGCTTCTAATATGATTACGTATAATAGGAATAGTCCTTAAGGTACTATATGTATATTTAGCATTGTCAACGTATAAACTTACTTAGATATCGATTTACTAGAACACAATAAAATGTCATTAGTAGACTTTTAACCTCTTAAAGGAAATTGGTTGGAAGTTGATAATTTTTCCCATTGCATTCGTTGTTATGCATATTTCAAAACTTCCGTGATTCATTGCAAATTTTTTTGCACAAACTAATATTTTTAATAATATGTCTCAGCAATCAAAGCAAAATATGCAATTTTTTTTACATATTACTATCCAAAAAATAAACTATTTTATTCAAAAATCTAACTTGATTTGCAAGGCTACTTTCCATGTAAGAAATATCTCGACTTTAAATAGAAACAAATATTATATTTCTACTATCTGAGTTAGAATCTATATCATCGTTTGTTAAAGAAAAAAAAAAGTCAAATTTTCAAAATTTTTGTGTGCGCCTACGGAATTGTATAAAAAACTCTTTATTAATGATTTCAACGTGCATTAAATCCGTTCAACTTTAAACAGGGTTGTTTATTTAAATAATGTACTGTAACATTGTTCGTTTCAAAGTGATTTCATTAAAATATCATTGTTGAAATAGTCTCATTCAAACAATGGTATAAATTAAAAGAACACTCTAATTGTTACAGTATTACAAAGCATTGTTAAACCGAGAAATTCTCACTTCTAAAGTTTATATGCGATCTGTAAGGTTCTTTTTTTACGATTGCTTATGCTATAATTAGAAAAATGGCGAAAGTTGTGCGATTTTTGCGTAAAAAGCTGTAAGTATCAGTTGTTGGTAAAATATTTGCAATAGTTACAATAATTTAGCAACTTATTTTAAATTCCTACAAGGACTTTGTTTTAAATCAAAGAAAAAACAAAACATTGCACTCCAAAATTCAGATTTCTAATTGTATTTTATTAAAAATGTTTAAGTTGATTTTATAAGAAACATATTTTTCACTCGTAACATTCGTAAAATTTACTCTCCGCAATTCAATTGCTTTAAAGGACAATGTCCTCTGTCAAGTCT